AAGTATAATGATTACGTGGCTCTGCCAGATGAGAACCCATTGTACCCATCAACTCACCATTGTACCCAATGTACAGCCACACCACGATGGTGTGGCAGGTGTGTATGTAAATTGCACACCTTTGTGTAATTGTTCCAATATAGGCAAGTGAAAAGGTGCGCAAGTTTTTTATGACATCTAATGGCAACATGAATTGCTGCTACATTTGAGAACTAGAGCGCTGAGGTGACATGGACAGCTAATTCATAGCCATCTTTGTTAAAAGAGAGGCAGATCGTAAGCAATTTAGTTTTAGTACGCGTGTGCACCGCTCATCTCAATACTCCAGCTCTATAAAAGACTAAAATCTCGACCATGCGATGGATTTTTCATTATTTTTGGTGTTTTGGTGGCCTGTCAGCATTGCTTGAGGCCACATGCGACCGGAGCTAAATCATGCACTTGTCGATTTCTTCAAACCTTCTATGCTTCCATTAGCGTTATCCACCACTGGTGCTTTGCTCTATATAGAGGCGAACATATTGCTAAGCGTCTGCATTTGCGTACTCATTCTCACCCTTCTGACCTTACCGTCACATGCTAGCTTGCAGTCGCCCACGTCCACGAACGAGCAACTGTCTAAGTCCACGCTTAGCGATCAGTTTGCCACTACGAATCTACAATACTGCCATTTTCGATGAAGTGTTCCGCTTAAAAAAGGTACGTTTGAGCCATGTGGCGTTGACTGCCGTCCTCTTATGTCACCATACAGCCACGTCCTGACGATACAACTATTATTTAAAAGTACACACTCATAACATCCTGAACGTCACCCTGCTCTTGCAAAATAACAGATGAAACAAAACTAACTGGTAGAAAAATGATAAAAAGCAATCTTTATTAGCCGCATAGGAGCAAGCGACGAACAGAGCTGACTAGCTGAGACGATACATGATGAAAGAACCTGGATTCCGGGTTTCAAGTCAAAGAAGAATCATGTTGGCATCCCATAGTGGAGCGCCACTGAAGCGTATCAGGCAGGTAAAAACCTCAAAGGTTGAAGTCAGGTTCCATCTCGAGTCATGTGAAAAGAATCCGGCTTTGCTGCGTCATTTGTTTTTGCGTGCAAAACACGCAATTTATAAACTTTGCATAGCTGTCAATCAAATGTTTGGTAAATAAGTTGTTTGCCTTTTGAGACTAAATACGATACTGTTTAACAAAATCCTCGGAGACAACCTACAAGTTTAAACTGCTCTATCGCTAGCAGCGGACTTAGACATAGTAAATGAAAAATGACCGTCAAAAGAGCTTGATGTATCTTCGTGTCCACTATTTTGAAGATCAAAAAACTTTTTTGATTGCATTGAACGACTGTAACATAAGAGCCAAATAATCTAAGCACATTTGCATGATAGTTTTACTAAGCTTCCGTGTGCATAGCGGCCTGAAGATGAAGGAATGCTGGAGTCACAGTCACCGCTTTAGTGGCTAATTGGCATGTTGACGAAAAAAACTAGGTGAAGGTTTTTATTTCTTACAAAAGCTCTTTGCTGCTGGTCAAGTACTCGGTCCACTTTCAGCTACCGTAGGCACAATCTTTCTACGATGGTTTCGTCTAGTCGCTGCGTCACCTTCTTGTCTGGAATCTCCAAAATGTAACACAGGCCACAAATCGTGCTCTTCTCAATACGAACGAAAACGCCGTATGCTTGTACCTTCGTGATCGTGCCCTTAGTCGTAAAACCCTTCTTACGTCGTTCACTGGAGCACTGACACGTCCTCGGAGACGACCGACGTCTTCAGACTGAGCTCCAGACCACGGTCCGACTTCTTCGTAACTCGCTAATGGCGACTCTCTGAGTTTTTGTTACGGGTAACGCATCTACGTGATGTCCCCAAAGAGCGTCTGCAGCTGGAGGATCTGGACGTGCGCGATCTGGAGGGCAATATTCTTCGAGCCCGATGATTAAAAAAGCTTATAAGCTTTCGGAGGAGCGCCTCTATTATAAACGCCTACGAGATACACAAGGCTGCCGTTGTGATACACAGCCACAGCATCACATGCAACTTGGCTGCTACGCTTTTTGCAGTGGTAAGAGTGAGCTTTGCATCTCTTACTAGAAAATGATCAAGGGCATTGCCGGCCACGGGTACGCAGATACGCTGATTAGTCCTATAATCGACAACGCGCCGAAGGATTCAGCGCTGGCTAAACCGATTTCTCGTACCATGAAGGCGTACCCCAATACACCTGCTGTGTTAGTTCCGTCGTCATAGCCACTTCGTATAGCGTAACTCGTGTGAAGCTGCCAAACGCCATGCTGAGTGTCTCCACTACCTGCTTGAGACTGTAATCAAGATGTACAAGCTCATTTGGACTACACAATCCTTCCGATGTCTGCACCATCAAGCAATGGCGACTTTCATACGCGACGCGCGTCGATGAGATGAGTAACAGCGAGCTAAATATGACCAAAAAGCACAAGGTGATAGTAATGTTGAATATTTTTCTGGAACGACGCCAATTACTTTCGTCCATAATATTTTTTTCCGTATGTGGTGAACAATATTGCTCGTTTCTTAGAGCAAACGTGAACTTTTCCCGAATGAAGGCGGATGTGACGGCTTTGATGGACTAGTATAAGAAGGGTTAGGTCGATGGAGAAGGCTTGCCGGCACTGAATGCGCAGCACGGCAAATAGAAGCTTATCGATGGTCTCGCTGCTTTACGTGAAGTGGAACGTTGTGGCAGAGCGCAAAATTGAATTTATAAACAATTGCAGGGCCACATTGTAGCTTCACGGATACGACATCGGTGAGCTCACGGCACTTGTGTACGATAATGCTCCTCCATATCTTAAGCATCTGCACGCCCGTGGTATGCGGATCGGTGTCGACTCATCCGGATCAAGCCAGGCCCAGAAGCTGCTTTATCAGTACTCAGATAATTATGATTTTGCGCGAGTACGTGACTGTTTACTTCGAATCAAAGATTGGCCACAAACGCGAAGATGAAAGCTACTAGGAAGTTGTTGAGAGTATCTTGGTGTCGACAATACTAAGGATGTGCTCTTCGTCACGGACGTGATCGAAGAGGCATAGGCGGCTGAAAAGGCCGGACTTGACACTATTGTCGGTGCGTCCGGGGAACAACGCCACTACCAAACTCCCAAACAATTGCTCCTTTGGTGAGCTGTAAGGTGCAAAAGTTGTCCTAAGGCAGAGCTGAGGTCTTCTCCGCAGAGTGAATGGCTGGGTCTCCGTAATGTCAGTTCCGCATTATGTGTTGATACTACTATGTCGTCTTCGTATCGAGCTTCAACTAGATATAAATTGAAGTGGTGGTTAAGGTAATAGACATTGCTTGAATCGGACTCAGGGCTTGAAGCTTTAGCCGATTGCAGCAGCCACTTTGTCGTCGTGCTTTGACAGCACTTCGCCCGGCGGTGCTTGGCTTGCAATAATGTCAATATGCAGTTCTTCTGTCTGCCAAAAGAGTCTAGTTAGCATTCCCAGTTCTAACGGCTTTTTCGATCAGCAACTCCTTGGTCGAATACAGCGGCCGTGGTCACTTACACCATCGACTCCCTCAGGATATACGGCAGCTCTTATCTACGCCGTCGTGCACAGCTCCCTTTTTCTTGAAGCAAGTCCGTAATAAGGTAGCCGCCAACTCCCTGGTGAGCGTTATGCAAATAGACCAATGCTGGGGTATCATGATCTGACTAGCCATAGGGTCCGAGTCCACGTCAATTGTCCTGCTCTTGTCGTCCACGCACGGACAAAGACGGTGTCATTGTTTTAGTTTCGTGTATCCCGGCGATGTAATGTCGTCAGGCAAGCTGACACTGGACTTGAAAAACCATCACATCGATGTTGAAGGACCACACGATTTCCTCGAAATAATGCAGTTCTCTTCAGCTCGACGCTGGAGACCGAGCACAGCACCGCGTCATGGGCTGCAATAGCTTCATGTTTAGCTTCTCCACAGAGCGACCGTATAGTTTGCCTGAGACCGAGCATCAGCAGGATCCGGCAACTTGAACAATGCCAGCATTAAAAACTCGGACGTAGAAGCAACTACCTCCAGCTTAACGGAGACCAACATATCAGTATCCGACGACTCCAGAGACTCGCAAGCTAAATTGTTGGACTGCGTAAGAAACAACCTTTTCCAGCAATATATATAATGCGGTAGGACAGACAGTCTCGTTTGTTTGCACATACGTCAGTAGTAACATCTTCGCGTTGCGGCGCAGAAACAACTGGTTGATCATAGTTCACCTGACGCTTTACATCTTGGGCATCGTCTTTGTGTTTGGCGTGCTAGATGCAATGCATAAAGCTGCTCGTTATGGCTTTGGCCTACTAACAATTGGAAAGCTACAACTTCTTGAAAGCTTAAGGGAGAAGCGGTAGTGAGCAAGGCTTGACAGAGACAGAAGGCTTCATACCTTAGCTTGTACGATGCCACGATAAAACAGCATGCTATTGTAGTGTGTTTATATATTCCGCTACTACAAGTATTCTATAGCAATTCAAGCGTTTAAAAAATTGTATGAAGCACTGTAAATGAAGCAGGCGTCACTCGTACTCGCAAACAACTGCGTGGCTAGAATCTTTATTGAAGAGTCGCGCCTTATTTATTACCAAGCGCGATCCCAGACCAAGATATTCTTTATATGCCGTTACATAAAGTTGCTTTGAATATACTGACTGGATTTTAGTACTACGTACTAAAATCATAAAATCCAAGGAGCGATAATTCAGAATATATGGCCATACATTAATACTATGGTTTAGTCATGCTCAAATGAAACCCTCGCAAATACTCTACTTCAGTCCATTAGATTATAAAGTCTAAATTTACAAAAATCAGACGTTGACACTGGAAAAAGATTTCTTCGATTTTTTGTTCTTGCTCCGTGGCAAATGGACGTGTGCCATTCTCCCTCGTCCACTGCTACGAGAAGAAAGATTGCTGCAATTTAATTAGTAGAAATTGTTATTAGAACTATATGGTACTTCAGATGGAGCAGCAACGCGCGCCGGAGCTGGCATTGGCCTGCATGGATGATTGCAAACCCGTTGCATGTGTGAATGTCTCTGCTACTTCCGAATTAGGCTTGACGTGGCCGGACCCAAGTCTGGAAACGATTAAGACCAAGCTTACGACACCAAGAGATTTCAATCTTCAGCTGGAGACTTATCCCAACGTTATCCAGACCAACAAACCTACTATCGACGAACTATCACAGCTCGTCTGGGGCAGCTACGTTCCCAAGATGAAGTGTAACTCTATGTTATCCGTGTCACCACCCTTTATGAAAGAACTGCAGTATGATTCCAGATTTCAATCAGACGGCTGGGTTCATGAAGCACCGCAAAATATGTATGAGCTGTCGGCACATCCTCCAAATATAATGGGTCCGTTTACCGGAGAAACAAGTCCAGTGACTCCTTACATGACCGTACAAGCTCAGCAACATTTTCAAGCCCAGCAGCATCAGAGGCATCTATATCAGCAGCAGGATCATGGCCTCTCATTACACATGTCCACCATTCACGGTTCCAGCGTATCTTCGCTCTACATGCCTGGATCTCCACTGACAAATAGCTCACATCAGATGATGGTGCAGCATCCTTTTCATAATTTTCAAGTCAGTCCTGGCCTTGTTACAACCATAACACCAGCAGTGAACCTCAGTGACATCATGTCACTAGGCGATCTAAACATGTTTCTAGCGCCAAGCGGAAACCCGATCGACTTGATCAAGCAGCACATAATGCCTCCCAGGCTGCTTGCCGGAGTGATAAACGTGAAGGATCTGACGCTTAACGAGTTGCGCCCGCACTTTAATAAGCCAATGACAGTCGTCGCGAAGGAACTGGGTGTATGTATTACGCTGATGAAGAAGATCTGTCGTCGCAATGGACTCGTGCGTTGGCCGCATCGACGAATTCGCAGTCTTGTCAATCGCATAACATCGCTGCAAGTTTTAGAAAGTAAAGCTGATGGTGCTGAACGTAAGCGCTTTCAAGGGCAAATTACCGGACTTCGTGAAGAGTTATCAGCAGTAATTCAAAATCCTAATGAAAAGAGTCGCAAGGCTCAGATTAGCATCCACAAGATCCCCGCAAATGCAGATCAGAGTGTGTCGCAGGCAATTAAACAGGAGTATGCTGTTGCTGAAACTGTATTCGACATGGTTGGCATAACAGATAATGGAGATGACGCCAAAAGGTGGATGAGAAAAATGACCAACGTTGCGATGAAGGCGGATTCAAAGGAAGAGTTCGACGTTACAGGCAGAGCTCTTATACAAAAACCGACGCGAGGCGCAGAAACCTGTACAAAGAAGCGCAAACCGTCGTTAAATCTCCACATCTACCAACCTCCTTCGATTAAGATACCTCGACACGATGAGTTGCCGTCCATGTACCGCTTACGCAGCCATAGCGTGCCAGAGAGGAAGCTGCGTGGAGGTCAGCGATCTGGTTGGGGTCGAGACACAGCAGACAGCACCAGCTTTTTGTGTGCGCGGCCATCCACCACAACCCACCGCAGTGGTCGACGCGGCTCTATTTCGTCAATTTTGAACGACATACTTGAGTGAGCGCAAGCCAAAGGTGTCCTGCCTAACTTTGCAGCTTCTGTGCGTTATAACGAATGCTCTTGTCGATCATAAGTCACTTGAATTGAATAGTGCTCTCGAAGATCCATACGCCACTTGATAGTATAAATAAATATGTGATACACTTTGGTACTTTGACTCTAAACTATTATATATTGCTTTTAGATCATCAATCTGAAAATTTTGCTCTTGAAAACACCTTTTGACCATATACTGTATAAAACGAAATGTCGGGCATTTAAAATGTCTCTCGACAAAGAAAAGAATAACAATAATGCACTTGTTTAACAAATCGAATTAACAATACACTTTACGGCATTATAAAACATAAGCCTTGTAAATATATTCTAAAATAAAATAAGGTATTACAAAATCAATCGGAAAAAATCAAGTCATCAAACGTGCAATGCCATAAACTCTTTCTGCCTGTACATTATTGAGGAGCGAATCGATACAAAATGTGTGTTATCTGGATATAGATCTTGTCAGCTGTACGCTACGTAGCAGCAACTTGCACTGCATACATAATGTATCTCCCATATTACATTCGTGTGAAGGTTACGTGATCTGGAAATTTCAATGCAATCACGCAGTGTGTAGCAAAACCACACAGCACCATCATGGTACAGTACTACTGCAAGAAATTGCTCATCGAGTTTTCTCTGGCCTTAGTTTACCTTTTTCTATACAAAGTGGCATTCAGACACCGTTAAAATTCAATCTTCACTTCAAGTCACCAGATTCTGGGCATCTCATCGAAACAAACATGTGAGGCCAGCTACTTTGCAATTGGTTTTCATCTAAGTCAAAACAACTTTGCTTAAGTTTCGTTGCCGTCATGCATGTAGTCGCCACTACATAAGGTGTATTTTAGATACAGCGAAAGACTTCCTTGTGTCGCTTCCTGAATGGCTAGAAAGTTGCGCGCTTTACCATGACAATGCCGCTGTTCGTTACTTACGCAATAATACTACACCATGTTGAGGGCAGAAAATGAACAGTGCTATATCTTTCCATGCATTTATTACCGAGAAAGATCATAGCTTGCGTAATTTTTTATGTTATGTTATCGCAAAGCATTCTGGCTTTCGTAAAATTATTTGTCTGGTATCTGGAACATATTACGAAGATGTACAGACAAAACATGACATGATGCTTGGCAAAGACGCAGGTTGGACGGAAGTGGATATGGCGAATGTGGCTTGTATTATAATAAAATCTTCTTTCTTATCTCATCTGGTAGATCGTTCAATCAATCGCCAGTATGATAAAGCGCGCTTTTGACTACAATGGTGTGGACGAGCTTACCATCATCATTGCAATAATTCTCTCGACGACCAAATGAAAGCAATACCCTGCTTGAATCATGTGTAGAAAATAAACGTCTCAAGCAAATAAGCGCTGACATACCGCCGATTTGCAGTGCAATGCAGTGTGCGCTTGCTTACGTGTAACATTTTCGGTGTCTTTCGTGCCAATATAGATATAGCGAAGATGACATGAAGCCAGCGTAGGCTGTGTAGATACTCACAGAACCGCAAACGCACGATCGTCATTGAATCGAAAAATATTCTATACTGTGCACAATACATGGTAAGATCGACTCGCTTAATGCGCTTACTTACGTGTGACATTGTCGATGTCTTTTATGCCAAATTGAATACAAATGAATGTCACATGAATCCCGCGTGAGCTAGAGTAAAGACCTGCTTGCAGCACCGCAAACGCACGAATGTCATAAATCTGAAAACATTTTCTGCTGGGCAAAAAAAATGGTAAGACTGAGTCGCTTTATGCTGGGACATTGTTTGTGTCTTTTATGCCAATTTGAATATGGACAAGCTCACATGAATCCAGTGTGAGTTACAAATGTTAGGGACATGTAGCACCGCAAACGCACGCGTCATGAAATCGGAAACTATTCTTTGCTGGGCACAACACATGGTAAGACTGAGTCGCTTTATGCGCTTGCTTACGTGTGACATTGCTGGTGTCTTTTATGCCAATTTGAATATAGATGAGGTCACATGAAGCCAGCGTGAGCTGTGTCGAGGCTTGTAGCACCGTAACGAATGATCGTCGTGCAACCATAAATATTCTGCTGAGCTCAACAGATTCTAGGACACATTCAAATTTTCTTTAAAATCTACTAGACGACACGAGTATGAAGGTCCACTCTGCAATCTCGCTGATTTTGGTGGCTCTCCAAACCGTTGATGCTTCAAACAAGACATGTCCAAAGATCAATCAATGGATGGTACTTTTGCTCAGAGGACGCCTACACTCTAGAGGATGACTTTAAGGACAATGGTGCCGAATGCGCGATTATTTTTGCGCCAATTTGTTATGATGGGATTTGCAAAGCGCCCGAGTCTCAATATCCTACTGTGGATATATTCGTGAAGCGTATACCTGCTGTCTGCAACCCAAAAACTGCGTCAAATCTGTGGCTGATGCAAGGTGGCCCGAGTGCTTCTTCTTTTGCTTGTAAGTCCTAGTTTGTTTATATTTGTTACGCTCACGCCTACACTAACCTCTTCATGCTGGCAGAGATACATTCACAATTAAAATGATCGGTAAACGTTTATACGATGGACCAGCGCGGCACTGGTCGCAGTACAAAATTGGCCTGCGTTGCAGCGCAAGTTGATTTCAGCTTCTATGCTTCAAGCGTAGAAAATGATCCAGCAAGAGTTCCTTCTTGTGCTCAAGATATTGCAAGGAAATATGGACCACTTTCGTCATTTTCTGTCACGAGCGCTGCGACGGATATGGCGAAAATTATTTCTGGATTTTTGAATGGCATGAACAACATCGTGTATGGTGCGAGCAATGCTTCTGCGCTTGTTTAACGGTTAATGTATCTTAATCCAACTGAGGTGACAGGGTACGTTCTGGATGGTATTGGCGCGACTCCGGGAGCGCCTCCAGACGAAAAACTGTACTTGTCAAACAAAGACATTTATTTTGGAGAGGTGGGCGATACCTTTTTAGTGTTGTGCGTGAAGGACAAAACGTGTTTAAAGCGATTTGCGGAGAAGAGTTTGTCAAGAACTTTTAAAGGTTTGATGGCACATATTAAAGGGGACCTAAAATCTACGTCGTATACCACGCTTGTGACAGAATATGAAACCGACAAGAGCGTTAGACCCGCATATGCCTTTCAGCGGACACTGGGAAATTTGCTGCTGTCCGAAAGCTTGCGCACACTCATCCCCGTTATTGCTTACAGAATGGGATGATAATGATGTAGGCGTATTGAATAATTTTTTTTGGGTTTATTACACAATACCTAAAAGGTCCACGTACCAATCGTCCATTCTTTACTACATGATCGCCTTCTCGGAGATGTGGGAGAAACCTACACCATCAGTCTCAGTACTGACCTCGCGATTTACGAAAATGCTAATTTCAAATGGAGGAATGCAAGATTTTGTCAAACTCTATTGTGCTTTTTCGAAATAAAAGTCAACTGTGTGTGATAAATATGGGGTCGGAAAATATCCTGCCAACGGCATCATCTACAAGCCCGACGAGTATTGTGACAAGAGGCCTAAGATTCCTACTCAGGCTAGTGTTCTTGTGCTCAGCAGCAAATTGGATCCGGAGGCACCGCATAAATACGCCAAGACATTTTTTGAAGAACTCGTTGGTGTCAAGAAAGAGTTAGTTACGTTCGAGTATGCTACTCAGGGAGCACTATTGAACACCCGATTTGGCCAAGGCAATTTCACGTGCGGCATGAAGCTATTGATGTCATACGTGACCAACGACGGCAACTTGAAAGGTCTCGACAAGCGTTGTGTTGCAAAAGTGCCTGCGCTTCATTGGACCCCATCGCCCAGCGATGTGCGCACTTCTTGAGCACGGATGATCCCTACGACGGAGCTTATATAATGAAACTCTGACAACACAATCTTCCACTTAAGACTCACGTCTTAGCGGGTATCGGATTCAACTCCATATTCCCGTGTTGGGAATTAGTAGGAATGAAGACGTCTGAAAGCAATAGACGATGCCGATGTTTTGCAGAGATAGGAACTACTACTACTTATTAATAGTAGTGAAACAAATCTGTGTAAGAATGCGAAACAATACTAGCTTACCGTTTTGATTGTAATACTGCGATTCGACTTTGGCAAGTGAACTGAGTTTTATGCAAGCCGATAAGCTGTTTCCTGCCTCTTGGCTGAAATAGTAAATCGACATGTTAAATTTCTCGTCCTACTAACTGCTTTTTTGGCAGTCGACTTGAGCTATTCTTACAGAAAACGACACTGTACTCACATGCAATTCGTCCAGTGACAAATCTTCTTTACCGTCTGCCACTTTAGCTCAAAAAGACAAAGTCCTTACCTTTGACAACCACGGTGCTTTACCACCAATGCCGAAGCGACTACTGCCTTCCGTTGTCGTAAACATCGGGCGCTTTGGCTTAGCTCTTTGTCTTGATTATTAGATGGAAGTAATGGAAAAGCTTTCACTTGCAATAATGTCCCTTCAAGACTTCCACTTTGTTGTCACCATGCAGATTGAAATTACAATATTTATGAAACAAGCTAAACAAATATGATGCATTCGCAACTGCCTGACAGACACGCTACTCAGCATCCACCCTTCAAGCACTTCAAATAGTGCTTGCTGTTTCATCTAGAGGCGAATGAATGTACACACATGATATTTGCTTTTTTTCTAGTGCTCCAATCAATCAAAGCCTGTCAGTGCTTAGAAATTAGCGACTGGTCCATTAACATGTTCTCAATAAGTTGCTGACTCGATGTAATGGTGGCAAACATAAAGCTCAGAACGAACTCTGTAAAAGCTCCAACCGAGGATAGATCAAACGACCCAGCTTCGGATATCTGGGGCGACACCAAGCAACACGTCTGAAACATAGAAAAGTTTTCACGACCTCGTACGCGCTTACTAATGACGTAGCCTTTTTCACGAAAACCAAAGCTAGCGAAAGGTGACTTGGAATTCTCGAGTGCCGATGCAGTTGAAACCCAGACTACAACCTGCCGATCATCTTCAACGTATCGCCGTACGACCTGCTTTACGCGAAAATCAGCAGCCAGCTCGTTCGCCATGAATTCTATAGCAAACATTTCGGCCACAGTGTCGGATGATGATTCGATATCCTGGAGGCAAACGGCAAGCACAGTCAGCAAACAATGTCACAACAAAGTCTTATCCAACAACCTGTGATCCGTACCTTGGAGAAATTTTCATACAAATTACCGCGGTGTTTTTCGCTGCCTCGAAAGTGATTCCATACTGCCTCGGCCGCAGTTTTAAAGTCAAATGGCAGCATCTTGTTCGTAAAAATGTCAGCATACATTCCCTCGGAACCTTCACGCATTTGAGCGTTCGTGCACGACGTTTCCAAATATTTTAAACCATTTGCAGCAAGAACTTCGTCTACCTCATGGTACGCTGCCTCTGCTCGAGCCAACAGCGAATCATATGTATCCTTATCCATAAGAAGGTCCCACGTAGAGCCTTGCACGTCGCCGACAGCTTCGCCAATGACACCATTGAAGCCGGCTAATTGCTGTCGTGTTCTCCTCTGCACCACCGCCTCCATACTCTTCGCCAGCTTAATCTGATTCTCCAAAACTAGCTTTAATCGCGCGTTCTCACGCTCGGCGTTCTCTCGTCGTTGCTGCTGCGATGACGCCATTTCACGCCAGACTGGTGGTAGTCCCGCTGAATCAGCAATCAATTTTGCAGTGTTTGTCATGCTTTTAGAATCGTTATTGTCCATATATTGCTGGCGAAGAGAAAAAAGCTGATCCTCCATTTGCTTCACTTTATTGCGTAGGTAAGCTAATTCATTCTTTCGATTGTCGCGCGCTCGATTCGGGTTCAACCTTACACGTTTCTTCGTCTTTCCGATTGTCACTTGTTTTCTAGCTTCGCGAAAGCCTTGACAATCGGATTGATTGTTGACAATAACCAGAGGAGTAGTATTGTCAGCTGGAATTGATAAAACTGAATTATCGGTCGGACTGACTACTTTTCCAAACACTTCGACTCTAGAAGTCTCATTTTTTACGCCACGAGCAAGACTTGGGGAGCTAGGGAGTTCTGAATTAAGTAATAAAGTCCCTAGCTCATTATCGACAATAGTTTCGCTAGTTTCTCCATCCACATCAATACTAGCTGATATCGAATCGAACAAAGGGGAAGAATGATGAAATGGACTACGAAGTCCTCCATTTCCATGCAATGTCACACCATGAGTCAATGTAACATGTGAAAAGTCATCTACAAAAGACAATGCCGCCTCTAATGCTTCCATTTCATCATCATCAGGTAATAACATGGTTTCTTAATTTCTAGAAATTACACGTTTGAATAATTAGTATGAAATACTTTAGAATACCGTCTGACCTTTTTATATCCATTTGACTGGCTTACGAATAGATGAAAAACAATAACATTTGAATTCGAGTCCTACTCAGATTTCTAATTTACAGGCTCAGTCTTTAATCTGTTTATTGTAAGCTATTTATACATTTCGCACATTTAAAATCATGTGCTACAAAATTAAATACGGAGCAAAACTATAAAATAAGTGTGGCTTGAACCAACCATTTTTAATTCTTATCCTATGACATAGCGTAGTGTTGTCTCATATTATGATCCGACTTCATATATATGTTTGTAACTCGCATGGACTTGCTTTGCTATCTAGATCTATTGAATTCGTTTGTATTGGTAATGGAAGACAACAGGATGTTGATTGAAATGACATTGTCCATAGACGCAGACTCTGAAGCGTTAAATGAGTGGCTAGTGGAAGAAGATAGTGGACTTGGAACTTGACAACAATAGCGGCAATCTGGACGAGGATCTGGAACTACCAACATTAATGAATTGGCCGGTTTCTCAGTTGCAAAGAATATCGTTACAGCAAGACGCTACTTTGCGTATCTAATGGTTAGGATTCATCCCTCCCACGGATGAGGTTGGGGTTCGATTCCCCGACGGCGCACGTCTCCGTCAAAATATAGCCTATGGAAGGACATGGATGGATGAGTTAGGGACTATGCGTAGTATGTCAAGTGCAGAGTCCACTGGAGTAAAACTCTCAACTTCTGACAATAGCAATCGCCCCATATCGTTCTCTTGCAATGTAACGCAGCAGAGTCAATATTCAAGGGTCAGGAAACAAAAGCAGTCTCGAAAATACTCAAATCGTGCACGAGATGCTAGGCTGGAAGAGTTGGTGTGCCTCCGCCAGAAAGTTAGGGATTTGCAGCTGCAGCTTGATCAGCTTCGCAAAACATGTAAATCTCTGCGAACAGCGTCGGCATCCTTTCATCCGTTGCAGCGCTACCGTCGGTGCCTGAGCTGAGAAATGAATTTGGGAAGAGTAAGCAAGCGACCATGTATACCGCAAAACCGATGACTGGCACACCTTCTGCAACATTCTCATCGGTTGCGGCTCCCATGGCGAGCATGGCGTCGCCAGCTTACTTAGCCGCAGTGTGGCGGGATTTGGCTCAGCGACGAGCGCTAGAGCGTCAAAAGGTGGAGCATGAGAACATGCAGCTCAGGCTTGTGTTATAAAGAAGCAGATCAAGGTAGTCAAAAGCTTTGAGCATCTTGTCCGAAAGCTTCAAATGAGCGAGTAAAGTATTTTGATGTCTCAAGAGTGTCTTTTCAAGCTTTGCCTACTCGTTTTTCTTGATTGAAGGGCATTTCAGGTAAAATAAAGGGTGGCTCTGGCAAATGGTTCGCCAAGCGCAGCCATTCCGAAGCCTGACAAGCTTGTGGTACCATGCAAAGCTTGGATCCTTTCTGCTGAATCAATAACTTTCACCAAGAACTTGACACCGCGGTTTGTGTGTATTTAAAAACAGGACATCGCACAGCTACATTCGAACACGAAGCCACTTGGGGCATGGTGATGGAGCTTGAAGCAAGCAAGACCATGGTCTTGTTATGTGTTTGGCGGCAAAAGCTGCGTGATTTCACTTTGTGCACCCAATAGACCGACCGACTGACCGCAAAGAAATATTGATGCCGTAATTACAGCCGTGTTGTACAAAGTCAAATGAGTAAAATAGCAACAATGAAGCTCAGTGTCCTCGTAACTCCTGTCTAAATGAGTTGTAACGCCTGTCCTCAGGTTGCTACGGAGACTTTTCTTCAACGACACTATCCTTGCTAGCAACCTGCATCAGCGCATTTGGTTCAGTCCGAAGCTGAAGCGCTCCGTCCATCAAGTAATTTTCAATCATTTGGTGGCTTGAGCTAATCGTATGCAACACAGAGTCCAGCAAAAAATCGACCAAAGTGGTAAGAATACGGTCGCGATCAGCAACCTGACCGTAACTTTCTGGTCGAAGAAGGTAGCACGTTTGTATTAGGGCGCCTCGACGGCCACTAGCTTGCGGGAGTGCTTTAACCACAGTATAACACTTTTCATGAAGTCGGACACCCTTCGTTGGCTCAGCAGACAGTTCAAGTGCCTCAGAGTACATTGGCCACGCAATAACAACGCGGTCAGGTTGAACAAACTTCCGGCGAATCTGGCGCACGCGAAATGCGGCAGTGGCGTTCCGACTGCCAACAAGCTCAAGACCAAAGCTCTCCATTAACGTATCGTCAGTTATTTTCGTCTACTACGTGACAACAGTTAGTAGAATTAGACCTGTCGACCACCAAATTATGACAAAAAATCTACCTTCAATTGCTTTTGGTAGACGAAACGCGATGGAATATGATCCATGGAGTGAACAAAATGCTCCCACACGGCGTGGCTTGTAGCTTCAACACTAAATGGAACGAGTTTGTTAGCAAAAATTTCCACGACAATAGACCCGTTTTCGCGCCGAACTTGCGCGTCTGCGTATGTCTTTTCCATGCGAGCAAGTCCGTTTGCCTCAAACACAACATCCACCTCGTCTAGGGCAGTACTCAGATCTTTTTCCAAACGAGCAAAAATGGCCACTTCGTCTTCTTCCTCTGTTGACGTTGGCTGTCGGTGTTGCAAGCTAGTCAAGTACTTGCCTTGAATAGACTCCATTACCTACACAAACGACATATCAAACGGCACCAGCACCATTAGCAGAAATTTCATCCCTCTCTCCACAATACTAGAGACGCTCCTCACCCGTAAGCTAGTACGTTTTGTCAGCATCTTTTCCAGGCTTTTGGCCATTTTGATCTGACCTTCAAGTATAAGTTTCAATCGAATGTTTTCCAGCTCAACACGGCGTCGCTCTTGGTACTGACGTGCTGCGATATCGGTCCAAACAGGTCCCATCGCTGCATCCTCCTTCATATCTTCAGCCGACAGCATTTCACTAAGGTTTGTGACAGCCTGTTCCTCTAGTGATGATGCATGAGCAAATGCACCCTCATTCGATGTCTTTCCTTCTCCTTTTGATGCGGCTTTTGTCACAGTCAAATCTCGACGTTGCGATAGTTGGAGTGTACGAAGTCTCGCTTCCATCGTCTGCACCGTTTTGCGAAGATAAATAAGCTCTTCTTTGCGTTCGTCACGCGCACGATTCGAATTATGAGAAGCCATTTTCCGCTTTTTTTCAGTATTGTAAGCACTATTAAATGTCTTCTTTCTGCGCTGCTTCTGTTTCATATTAAATGTAGACGTCTTTTTCAAAGGACAAGTGATTGAGGTCGTTAGCTCTGACGTTAGAGCAGGAAAGATGTCGGCACTAATAAAATTCGTACTATCTAGCCTGTGATCAATTAACGTAGGCATTAAAGCAGCCACTTCATGATTTAACAAGATCGAATCATTCCAGTTAGCAGACACGGGGCTATGCTGTTCATTATCAGACGGGACAAGAAGTCGTGATATAGCAGCATCAAAATAATCTTCATCATGGCAATTGGTTAAAATAGCTAGTGTCTCTTGCATAAGCTCTTCTTCCTCCTCCTCTAGCTGCCGCTGCTCCATGGCCACGGGCAAGCCGTGAGGCTTGCTTTGTCTAATCTTGATGTAAAGACACTGGGTCAAAAAAAAGAGCAGGATGATTACGGTCAGAGTCATGCTATTTGTAAATGAACCATACCGGTACATTAAGCAAACGGTTTTAGTCGAACCGATATTACCGAGCTCAAAAAAGAAATAGGACTGACATTTTAATAAAGTGTATAAAGTGCACTATAAAAATTGGCTGCATGTGTCAATTTCTATTGACAGACAAAGGCAGACAGTTTGAGTAGACGTAGTTTGCAAGGTGTCTGGTAGATTCCAAGTCTGGTTTGCAACGCCGGTTTTACGGTCGAGTCCGGTGGTGGTACGGGGCTAGTCATCTGCGCTGACGGCTCTGGGGGTTGCCGTGCTTTGCTGTGTTGTCAAAGCAGCAGTCATGTGCTGTTGATGGACGTGTCTGCGCGTGCGATCGATTGTGTCACGACTGACTGAACCAATGGGACGACCGAGGCCGATCAAATTTGTCTCCAAATCTTTGTTGCCACAGCGTTTACATTATGCGTCAGGAGCTGTTGTATTGCTCACGGTAATTGCTAGCTTTATAGCGCTCTCAATTGCTGGAGTGTTTATTGCAAAGGAAAGAAAACACTCTTTATGATAATACTTGATAGCTCACTATTTTCATGTGGTGCATTACACATGTTCACTTCTGCACAGCTAAAACCTACTGTGAGAATTTGTGCAGTGTGTGATTTGTACAGTTTGTTACGCGCTCACTTGACATAGAAAGGTTCCGGTTCTGGCAACAAGAAAACAGGGATGTGAAAATGTGAACTAGCTAGAGTGCCAAGATATCCAGCCAACCGTTACTTTTTCAGTCCTCTTCAACAAGCACTTCGTGGATCAAATTGCAGTATGCATCGGTAATCGCATCGTGCGAGCTCACCACAAAGTCTGTGAGCACCCCCACTTGCAGATCTTGATCGGCAATATTGTCTTGCAGCTCTAGCGTCACTTTGTAGTAGGACTGCAGCGACGTTGACATCATGACATTAGGAGAATTCATGGGGCAATAATTTGCATCTTCAGACGCAAGATTGATGCCACGAAGTACAGCCCATCCAACTTGAATAAAATGGAGTCCACTGAATTTGGCATCATTAATTTGAATAGGCTCCTTGTGTGCCTTCCAGGTGATCATAACGCAATCATGGCCCACATATTTTCGATATGTCTCCTTGCCTCAAACATGCGTCGAAAATGACCCTGCATTGAATTTAAGGCCAAATGAATGAGCCACCAGATTTTCCATCAAAAGTCTTTCATCGTAATAATAACTCTGATTCTTTGGTCCGTCCTTTACAAACGCCCACCAAAACGCTGTCTCCGTCACACGAATACGGCAGCATTGAGCTGGCTTTTGTTACAAAAGCAACACAAGTATCTGAGCTTGGATCATTCATCACATGCAACTTACAGAATGACGCCGTTCGATCAGCAAATTCCGGATCGCCAAACCATTTGTCTGCATCAAGTTGTGCACACTCTACATGTGCCAATTGATCCGCAAAAATCTCTTCATCAGTGGGTCTTTGTACCAAACAATTCAAGCTTTTACATTGTGTATCATCATGAGCCAGTTCAATCGCCTCATTTTCTCTCAGCTTTTTGCTCAGCAGTTGTTCCAGCTTCGCCGCTACTTTCAATTGCCCCTTCAGTAATCTTTAGCTTGTAATTTGTATTTTCAGCACAATTTCTTTCCTTCTGCTGTCTTTCAGCAATAGCTTTCCATATCAAAGGGCCCCCCACTTCTGTCTTGACCAAAGTCTCACTTCCGTCTTCGACCGTATTAGTCCTTAATTGAATTGGTATTACCTGCCGCTTTAACTTTCCCACAAGATCTCAGAGATAAACTAATTCAACCTTTTCCCGTCGAATTCGCTTCTTCTTGGGCTTAAAAGGCGCTTGCATCGGTATTGATGGCACGGGATACGAGGACAATACAGATGCAACGAGGTAGATACATGGATTTTAGCTGCAGAATTGCGTCCTCAGCATGAACATTGTTACCTATTGGCTATAATTCTAAAATAATAATCCGTTTCAATCTTTCGACTAAAAACTTCAAGTATACTATATTTTTGAGACGAAACCAAATGGGTAATAAATGAAAAAGGGACCGATATGCTTACCATCTATCATAATTTGCCCATTTTTGATTATCGTCAGAGCTTCGCATTGTCAAAATGGAAAAGAAGAGTAAGTCCACTAACGTTTATGTTGCTGAATTGATGCGATTGAAAAAAGGACAAGAGTCTCGAGTAGAAAAAGAAGAAACGACTCAATTAGCAGTTCAACCAAAGAAAAAACGAATACGAAGACAGAAACTAGAGCTTGAGTATTTACGAAACTTAGTGGGTCAACTAGGAGAGCAGCTTTCAACGCTCGAAGCCAAGCAAACTTCAGTCTTGAGCGATAAGAGCAAACTATCGCCTGAAATGAATGCTCCGTCAATTTGGAAGGGAATTGCAGAGCGACAGTTGAAGGACCGAGCTCGAGTGGAGGAGCAGAACCGAAAACTACGTTCATCCTTAAATGGACAAATTAAACTGGCCACTAAGCTGGAAAAGATATTGCGTAAGCGTCCAAGGGACGAGGTATGTTGGTGTTTGCTTACTGTTTGATGTGAATACGATTATTTTGTTAAATTGTTGAATTGATGCTAATTTTTGGATCCAGGAAATAGCGGTGTTACTGGATGCAAAACGCGTCAAGCCGTTGATGAGTAAAATAATGAACCCAACGGATGATGAAATTTTTGCCGACCAGCTCGCACATGTTCAATGTGCTCACCTTGTCGTGGATAAGATTTTTGGCGAACAAGAATTCCTAGATCCGAGTGCTACGTTTCATCACTTACAAGTGATAAATGACTTTCAGCCAAACACGGATGTAGAATTTATAAAGAAAGCTAGCTCAATGTTGCCGTTTAACATTCAAGTGACGGAGAAGGCATTATGGCGTGCTCTTGCTGAAGAAGGCACTAAGAAGGACAGCTACTTTCTTGATCGACGATCATCGACAGCAAGCATCGTGGCTCAATCTTACGGTCTCAACTTTCGGGCTGGGAATTTTCACACCAACGTGCTTGGAAAGGAAACGTACCGGAAATATAAAGAGGAGAACTGTGTTGTTATTATGTGGAAGTGGGTTGTGGATCCGATTGAGGTCAACGGCACAGATTTTCACGGGGTGCGGTGCCACGAAACGGGCTGGATCAGGCTTCGCGAAGTAAACTTGGACCGATTCAGCAGCGATAACGATCATGAAAGCAGCGATATTAAATCGTCAACTTCGACGCAGCTGCAGTCATATACAAAAATGACGATGCAGTTTCAAGATGACATTGGTAATCAAGAGCTTCAAGTTGGTGCGCTGACAGATTTTGTAATTTATCTCCACGATACAATCACGGAAGTTTGTAGCAAGATTGTTACCGACATACTTGTGGAAGAAGACTGGAATCACAATAGTTGGGTCAGCACGATGCAATTGTAGGTCTATGTCAATCTTAGCATTTCCTTATATTAGTCGGTTAAATCAACAAATAACAAAAGTATTATGCAATACTATGCAATACTTTTGTATTTGTTGATTTATCCGACTAGCAGAGGAAAAGCCTCAGCCCCGCCTATTCTTCGTAAAGCAAATTGCCTGGAACAAGTTCTTCTTACAATGTGATATCGAGCGCACGAATTAACGTATTCTACTTGGATGCTGCATTGAGCCAAAATGAAAGCTTTGAAATCAAGTTTAAAATTTGTCTGCTGCATTGTCAATGTCGAGGTCGATAAAGTTCAAGATACTCGTCGAGGTTAACCTTAAGACGAGTTTCATATGCATTACACCTTCATAGACGATTCGTTCTTCATACTTGAACAAAGCAATTCGTTTTTATCTGACGAAGCTTTCTGGTAGGAGATTGTCACACTTGCTAAACAAGTTTAGTCTGGCTTGCAACGTCTACATTGAGCTTTAGGTTGAACAGCGATACGACAAATGTCAATCAAACGTCTGGTGACCAACATTCCAGCTTTAGCAAGCGATACATAGTTGTCTTGTCGTAGCAAAGCCGCACGGAAGCTATGACCATTTGTACGGTATCTCATAATGAATGCGCAACTCGAGAAGTAAGGACAAAGCAGTGCCAAAAAATTCATTGGACACTCGCTAAACTTATAGCTGTCTATAAGTTTTTGCGGCATTAAGATAGAATATCTTTCACATAGATTCTATAAGCCTCGTATGATTTTATGAACTTGCTAAAGCATTTGTTGCGAGCTACTGATTGTTTGATCGTGGAGCGTAAATGTGTTCAGATTCATCAAGAATTGTTCACAATAACATTAGAACGATATGTTTTGGCTTTATCAATCAACAAACACAACTAACCAACTTGAATCGATTCGTCAAACAAGATGTTTTCAATCTCTTGATTGTGTGACGAGTAAGATTGTTCCCAGCCTTCAATTGCTATGTCCACATAAACCTCTTCTCGAAACTTGCGCGCCAATGCGGTGTCTTCATCGTGTCGAGTAGCACAGAGGTAGCTCTCGATGATGGCAGTGTCCTGGCCCGAAGACAAGGGTTCACCTCGCCGCACCACAACAGTCATGGTTTCGTCAAACTTCAAACCCATCGCACTGTCCTCTCCTGTGAATTTTGGCTCCATGATAGACCGACAGATAAACGTGGCTCGGTCTTCGGTCACGTATTTTCGAGCTACCTCGCGAACCTGAAGTAAAGCTGAGACATTTCCAGCAACGCATGTGAACGAAACATATTTTGTGACCGTGTTGCCACTTTCTTGGGCCTCCCAGTCGATAGTTCCCTTTACGTTCAACCACAGGAATAAAAGCACAGTAAGCAAAGATTCGTAAGGAATCGTTCCACTAACACAATCAAACCTGAGTGTATGGACTGTCTTTGCGGTGGCGACCAGAGAGCAGCTTCCAAACTGCACTCTGTGTCTTGTGCATGTCAAACGGAACTTGGTTCTTATCTAAGAACACAACAATTGCACCATTGACTGCATCACGTTGTACTTGACGTTTTCGTCCTGGACATGGCACTTGTTGCATTCCCTTTTCGTAGTACAATTTGTCAAGACCGACATATAGTTCGTCTGTTCCCTGCAAAAGTGCAGCAAACACCTCTTCATTGTCTTTTGGTGGTAATTCAGTCACGAGCCTTTGCTTACGGCGTTTAAGACCAACCAATGCCAACGTCTACAAACACACAAGTACCGTCAGCCATTGCAAATACATGCAGTAGAGCAAGCTACAATTTACTTCGGCATCATTGCGGCGACTGAGCATTCTCTTAAGGTTTTTCGTCTGGCGCACTTGAGTTTCTACCAATTTTCGTAGCGTCAAGTTTGCTTCCTCAGCTTTTTGTCGCAACAATAGCTGCCTCGCTGCAACCTGTTGCCATAGCGACTCTGGCTTTGACACAATCGACTCTACGTGTCTTTCTTCTGCTGCAGGCGAAGTCAGTATTGACGATGCTTGCAGCTGGTCCAGTCGTCTTGATAGTTCGGCAACAGTGCCTCTTAAATCACTAATCTCCTCTTTTTTCAATAGTCGTGGCCGACGTCGCTGCAGCAAAGACAATGACGATGCGGTAGCAACAGACAATTGTTCATTACTACCAACATGAGATGATGTCAAGCAGGGCGTCGAATGCACTGATACATCTAGTGGTAGCTCCTGACTCTCACTGTGAGATGCCATTGAATCAAAAAAGTCGTTTCCGGCCTGAAATTCAGTACTTAATGTATCTGTAGTATACAAATCGGATTCATATAAACTTGTCTTCATTATACTAACGTCTAACTCTTGAGACATCTCCAAAAAAGGCGTGTGGCTGAAAACATGATGATATTCGGGCATTTCAAGAGAATGTGACTTGTTGTGGCGTGTGAGTGAATGCTCAAAGGCGTCAGTGAAATTAATACCATTCATAGTCGCAATAGATTGTTTCTCATCCAATGACATTTCGTACTGCGTAATAAAGTTGAGTGCTGCCTCAAGTGTTTCTACTTCATCTTGGGACATTATTTGTTGGACAGATTGGTTTTTGTAGTTTAATCGAAAGCGAAATGAAAAATGGTCTGTAGAATTTTATATTTATAGTCGATTGTCTGTTGGTTTACGCCCAACAAAATACTCATAATTGGCATCATCATTGCTATAGCATAAGGCAGAGCGTCAAAATTAGGCTCATAACATAGGGTCTTTTGGGCTAGCAAATTATTCCATGTTAGAGGGAAACAGCAGAGGTAAAATTATTTTTCAAAGTCAGGTTGTGCAAGGTAAGAATTAGTGATAGGAAACGCATTTTACTGCTAGAGTGGATCTTCTCAACGTGCAGCTGGCGAGACTGTGTGACAAGCAACTTCCCGGCGCTTTACGTCTTTTTTGCCACCGCTCAGATGCAGAATTGAAATCATGCCGAAGCACCTGTCAAAATGCGCACATACTTACTACATGCTAACCTTAGACGAAACATTGTTGCATACATGATTAAGGGTTGCTAGTAAAAACTTATCTTCATTATGTTTTGACAAGCCATCTGCTTGAGCATGCAAAGATTGATTCTTTGTCTCTATAACGGCAAATGCTAATCAAGTCGACACATCATGCATACAGATGGACTCGTCAAGCTTCTCACCAAATGTTGTCGGTGCTTTGTGGAATCAGTACCGTCTCGAGTGTCTCACTTACCCCATTTCAAAGTTACTGTCAGCTGTTGCTCGCACAAATAGTACGAAGCAGTCGCGATGAGCTATTGGCATCCATGGCGAGCGTATGCACAAACACGTCTCCTTTTTTGCTGTCGTACAATATATGTGTAGCCTACAACCTGTTATCTAGCTACCTGGTAAACAAAAGCCAAATATCTTCTTCTGTTTATCCTAAGCATTTCTTTCTTTTTCTATAACCAGTTTTACAAATAAGAAATGAAACGTCTCCTTTCTTTCTCATTTCACCTTGCAATTCCTTGCTTCTCCTATTTACTCGTAAGCATTTCCGCAGTTTTGCGTTCTGCCGTTGTTCGCGGCACTTTTTCTAGCTCGAGGTAACCGCCTACCAAATTGACCCTTAATTGGTGCACATCACAGAGGCTCAATGATTTGGTGCACAACACAGAGGCTCAATGATTTGGTGCACAACACAGAGGCTCCATATTCTATAAATTGTTAAGCCGGGACCAAATTGCTGAATCTAAAAACACATGGAAGAGTTTTACAGTCGTACATTTTCGATAGTCTGTCTAATGTCGACCGACAATGCAGCTAGATGCTGCTGATCTATAACTAGAAGCAGTAATTTTTCCATTCTATCTCAGCTGCTAATTCTATGTATGGCTGGTTTCTGTTGTTAAAATTCGTCAAAGCTGCAGCTGTCATCAAAAAGTGCTTTTTCGTTGTATTTCACTGCATCTGTTCTGTAAAGAATGCAACGTATATAGCCAATCAGATTATACTATAAACATTAATTTTAGCAAATAATATGTAGCTTGCTGTGTTCCCAACATCAATAAAAAATAATTCATTGCAATGGTTCAGTTAAGCAAAATTGGCGGCAGCATAGCATGATGACGCATCATTTTGAACTGCTGATGTTGCTAATGTGATGACGGGGCGTAGATTACCAAGTGCGGAAACAAACGCCGCAATCATTACACCGTTTTAAGCAGAAACGATGGTACTTTGTACGACAGAAGGTATGAATGAGTATGAGAGATGGCTTAAGCGCAAATCCTTGGCAGATAATCAATGAGTGGCGCAAGTGGAAATAACTAGAAGGAACCAAAAACTGCTCTTATGAGTGCAAGGGCAACGCAAGCGGGTCGTTTGGCATTCACCTCATAATCTATTCGTAGGACAGCGGCGAGACTTTCTACCGCAAACGGCACACGGGTCTGTGGCAGTCTTTGCATTCGAAGACGGTATATTTTAGAGATAATTCAAGTGAACCGTTGAGACGTAAAGAACTTCATATATTTAGTGCTATTACTTTTGTGATGCGATAGAATGTCACAAGTCTCAGTATTTGTGCAACTGCAGTGCAAATAGTTGAAAATATTCTTATGCTGATCTTCTTTTACGCAGTTATTCAATATCGTGGTGCTGGAGCTTGTGACGACACCGAAACACTGATGCTGGAGAATGAGTGTAACTGCAAGGTCGCGTTAAAACGTAACCTACACGGATCTTACGTTTACAGCTCAATTTGTCTCGTAAGTCGCTAAAAAATGGAATTGAATCTAGTCGTGCGTGGGTAGATGGGCATTCTGTGCGTTCAGCAGACAAATCAGCAAGGTGTTCATTGGCTGGTTAATGTGTCTGTGTGTTTTTGTGTCATCAGTGTCCGATACTTAATTGAGTACGCTCCTAACAAGATTTTTATATGGGTCCGACGACTTTATGCCCTAAAAGCTTCTAAGGCGGGACATTGCACGTCACGTGTGACGTGCTATTGCACTTGTCATGTTGACAAAGAAAAGATGACTAAATCATGAGAGATACATTGGACCTACGAGCCATGGTGGAGTGAGAAAATAACCAACTTCCACAATTGCCATAAGTCATGCGTTGTATTTGTTGTAGGATCAACATACTAGTTGCTAATGACGACAAGAGGTTGGACTGCTATAGTATTTCCTATTCACGTTTGGTAGTATATCATGTATAGATAAATGTGCCTGAGATGGATTATAAAACACATAATAAATATTAGAAGCATAAATTCAACTTGTTTTTGGCAACAAACACTAATTGTTGAGTATATAACAACACTACAGATCCAAGAGTACGTGCCGGATTTTTCACAGAAATAAGCCTATTCCTACACACATGGCTGCGACAAACTTTCTTGTCTCCTCACAATCAAAAAAACTGCTCGACACGCACTTCCAGTATCCAAAGACTGAACGCATCATGAATGACTTTACTCTTCGTCCTATTAGTGACGACCCTACGGGTCTTCAAGATGTATTGGCTTTTATTGCAGACTTTGAAATGGAAGACAATATGTCGATTATTAATTGTAATTCAACTGAATGTGTGGTTGAAGAAGCCTCTGCTACAGATCAAGAGACCTTGGATAAAGTCTATGATATGAACTTGGATGATTTGTGTATGGAAGAAGGTCGACGGTCAGTAGCTAAAGTGTCGACGACAAAGAGCTCATTTGATCAACTGAATATGTTGTCTACTAAAACATTAGGAGTGTCAAGCCCTTCTGTAAATGCAGAAGACTCGGATAACTGTGCTATTGTCATGAAGACCACCCCACGGCGACATCGCGTCAGTCGTAAGGAAGAACTTGAATATTTACGTAAGAAAGTTATCGAGATGGAACAACAACTTAAGACACTTAAGGACGCTACCGCCTCACCAGCACCTTTGGCTTCATCACTGAAGTCGAATAAAGTTACGATGAAGTTTGAACAATCTGTAGCTCTCTGGAAAAAGATGGCGGAGCGACAAAAGATTCAGCGGGAAATAGTAGAGTGCGAGAACACGAAGCTTCGTGAAAAGCTTAAGATGCAGATGCGCATGGCGAAGGGTTTGCAACGAGTGCTACGCAAGAGTGAACGAGCTGTCGAACAGGTTTGCAATTTGTCTAGCTTGAGATGTTCTTTTACTTATGCTTATTAATTAATTGTTTTGGCAGAGTGTGATTGAGACACCAAAGAGATACAAGCACTTTTACCTAGATTCTCACGTCGCTAATGCTCCTGGTGAATTTGACCAGTTGATCGCAAATCTCGGTAAGCTCTACGCTCTTACGAATGGAATCATGTCCTTTTGCCCCATGGCTACGGAAAAACAGCCAGTTTTGAGACAGCAAGACGTTAAGCACAACAATGTCAACGATGTGTTTATCGAGTTTATACACAGCAAACTTTTGCCGTTTGAAAAGGATGTTGTCGACCGAGCTATTTGGCGGCATTTAACCGAACCCGGTATCAAATATAACACGTATTTTGAAGAGGTTCGAACACGGAACGATGCTGTTAAGTAATGTTTGGTGCTAACGGTGACTTGTGTTACGTGTAGCAGTTTGCTGAGACGAAAGATAACATGATTTTGCGAAAGTTTGGTGTTGAGATTGAGCAAGACGAACGAGTCGCCAAAATGGGTGGAAAACAAGCTATTCGTCGGTATTTGGAACGTGATCAAATTGTTATTGTCCGGAGTTCTGTAGTCGATCGCGTGGAACTTTCTTGTGCATCAATGGGCGGACTTACATTTCGAGAGGTTGGTTGGATCGTGATTACGGACGCAACAGGTCACGATTCGGTTTCTAGTCCAAAGGCAATGGTCTCGTCGTACTCGACTCTAACACTAGACGTGGATCTAGACTCGCAATGGGAGATTGGTGCACTTACAGACTTTGTGTTGCAGTCTCGCGGAGACATTGAGGTTGGCAACGACAACATCGTAGAGAATTTGCTTTTAGAAGAAGCAGCGAAGCGAAATTCTGTAATTTAGTTAATCATTTGCGGGTAACAAACAGGTCGTGCGTATGATAGCGGTTTTCAGGTGTTTTGGTCTTTAATTTTGCCATCGACTGACTATCATATAGGTAGGCAATTGTAATACCACAGGAAAAGAGGAAAACGCGATAGATAAAGCGTGTTTCTTCATATTTAGGCTCCATTCACAGCAAATTTGACTTACGCCGGCCATAAGTTAGCCGGAAGAAAACGTCAAGTTCTTGCAAAAAGATTTTATGTTGAAGCGAAGAGAGTCAAGAATATCCTTAACGGCGCCAGATCTTCTCCTCTCCGTTGCGCATTCAGCTGCTTATCATGAGAACTAGCAGTCTAGAAGAGGCATTCATTGATCTGGGAGATACGATCTAGCCATGAGCCATGATGCCCCTGTTTGATGTCGGAAATATGCGGCACTACGTTAAGTCCGGCTTTAGAGAAATAGCGCAATTGACTTTACACTACAGCGTAAAACCTTTCATGTCAAATTAGTTGAGCTCTGTTGCCGAATATACCTGGCAGGACCTGAGGTACGGTAGTGGTAAATATGCCTAGAGTTTTTCTGTCTTGATCTAAGGATGGTAAATGATGACAGCATGCCTTTTTGCAGGAACTTGAGGTTTGAAAATCGATCTAAAGCTCTTCTAACCTTCCTTACAAGTTTTCCAGAATATCAACTTTATACGACTACTCTAGGGTACTATTCTCCCGTAGGTCTATCTCTTCGTGCCGCTGCTAAACTCTGCCGGCATCTATATGTTGCCTTTTCTTTATGTGTATTCCCAATGACTAATCAACCACCCGGCTTCTGTCCAAGTCCCGTCATTGCGAGTCGATTCTAAATTCCATAGTAAAAAAGTTAGATCTGATTAGGCTGGAAACATACGAAAATCAAGCCAAAATGGCCCATTACTCGCATCAAAACAATCTATAGCTGTTACTACATGGTGGCTTTGTTGCTGGCCAACATTACAAACAAAACTGCGCTACTCTAGTGGCTATGACAAAACTTGATTTTGCTTGAGGCATACAGCTCAGCTTTAGCATATAATTGCTGAGTGTTGCAAGAGGATGCTTAAATGCAGCGCATGATTGTAATGTATAAATGGAACAGATCAGAGTCGGTTTTGCTGCATGTGATGAAGCTGAAGCAGTATGCAAGTGAATTCTTGGTATGACCCGATCTTGCATTAAGCTGTATCTCAGTCTTCTACGTACAACGATATACGCAAAGGATGACGTTGTGCTTGCTTTGTCCTGTTGGGACTAGTGCTTGTCTTTTAAATAACGAGAACGTGTCCGTGCAGAGGAGTGTCACACATTAAGCCCAGTCGGCAGCAAAGTGATCTGATTCGTCAGGGTACCGTTGGGCTACCATCCATGGGACGAGGTGGCCGGTTTGGTTGAGCCACACAGGCGCGATTCCAACGTTGAAATCGTCCAGCTGTGCCCAAGTGCCTTCTCAGTGGCTGATGGTTGCGCTCAAATCGCTTGAGAAAACGGACAGCTCTTAAAAGGTGCTTGTACGTTTCCAACGCTCCCTATGCCGGCGCATCCAGTCCCGGTGGGGCGTGGACTTTTGGATGGCCAACCGTGTAACAAGGTTTTGTGTTAGTGCGTCGCGATACGGTATGCAGTCCAAAGTTACTAAGCTATGAGAGCGTACAGATGAGCCCACCGGGTCTGGGGCCCTGCATGAGATCGTGCTGCCGGGTAGTCTCAGTTGAGGTAGACCAACAGGCAGTCGTTTGGAATCGTCCGAGATTTGAATCAAGGAAACTCGTGGATGCTAGGTGTGCTTTGAAGACGCGTCTGGTGTCCCTCAGGTTGCGGCTGTGAACGATATGGAGTTCGTCAGTCTCCACCTTCAGCAAAGGTATGTCTCGTCAAGCTTCTAGTGCATCCCAGTGCTGTCCTGCGTCAGGCGACATAGTCCTGTGGTGGGCGACACAGAAAGCTTGCGTTAATGGCGAATCGCCCGCGCTGCAACTTTAGTGCCAAGTGACGTGGGGAAGACGGTAGAAATTTGAAGGCGTGTTTTGTCCAACCCGTTTAACTGATGTCAAAAGCATTGATAGGGCCAAAAGCAACCTGATTGTAATGACGCGGCCGCAGCTCGGCGAGAAATTTCCGTGAAGAATGAACCCAGGAATATAATTTGCAAGACTCTTAGGCAGTTTTCTATGCTTGATGCATTTTATGCTGGATTATTCATGCGAACACAGAACAAGTAGCTAATTTTGTAGAGAACCCGCACTTATCTTCCCTCGCAGATTAGTGGCATTCGTTAATATCAATTAACAACACGTTAAGTCGTTCCAGGATGTCGAGCACGATTTTTGGTGAAGCAGATCAAACATGAAACGAAATGGATAAGAAGCAGTTTTGAGTATTTAGGCAGCTCGGAGCGGCTTCACAACTCAATATCTGTAATGCCACTTAATGCAGTAGACGCATCAATGTTTCTTCACTATGTACTAGCCTCACTCGCTTTCATTCAGCCCCTATTTTTCAAAATCATAATCGTCCTTGTGTCCTTGTGCAACGTACCCGTTGTCCGATGCTACAGTTCACCCAATGGCACCCCCAGGAACTGTTTGCGGCTATGAGTGCGACAGCGAAGCAGCCGCCTTTTGTTCTCCAAATCAGTATCGATAAATAAACAGCATCTTCCACTCTAACTGTACTTCCCCCCCTTCGAAACTACGATGTTTCTCGAGGCCTCAATGCAAGGAGAATCGACGGTATTAGAGAGCTATCGAGAAAATAAAGAAGAGACCAAGAAGGCAATCTTACACGCTTTGGGAAGTCACGGTCACGATAACCTTCTAGCAGCGCTTTTTGTGGAAATGAAGATCGTGGAGGAAGGTTCAAGTCAACGGGTCGCCAATTGGCTGGAGGAAAAGCTGCTCACGGCTTGGGTTAGTGATAAAACCAAGAAGCCAAAAGATGTTTACAGATCTTTATGGCCTGAATGGGCAGAGAAGCTTTTAGATAGCCCTGTACTGGACACTTGGATGTCCTTTATGATACGTCGTGAAGAGGATCCATTTGAAGGCCTAGTGACGGAACTACGCAATTGCTTCGAATATGAAGATCATGTGGCAGGTGCGATTTTGAAGGCGAAGCCCTATGCATTAGTCTACCACCCGGACGTTAAGGTGCAGGACAAATTAAAGGTTAATTTACTGAACAAACAAATTAAAGCTTGAGCTGCAGAAACAATGCAGCAGCGTGGATTCAAAGCAAGTTATATTTTCTCCAATGTTCTTCATTTGAATTCGTTGGGTAACTATCACCTTTTCGACCATTCAAGTATGATCCTATGGGACTCGTACCTATACCTTGTGCACAGGGAAAAGTCATACGAGATGATGTTTAAGATCCTTCTACACGATAATTTGGATTTAATGACCGGAAAAGCCATAACTTCAAATCATAGAGCTCAAGATATCGCCAGAAATTTGCCTGTTTATATGAGGTATCTTCCGAAACCTAACTTCTTTAAAAGGTTTTGGAAGAAGCTAACTACAAAAGTTGGACGGCAAAAAGCTTGGGTTGCTTACGTGGACAAACAAGCTCAACAAGGTTTCACTCTAACAAGATCTTGTTTTGGAAGAAAAAGTATCGTACGGTCTCGGTATTAAGTAGCCTGATGAAAGAGCTTATCTGGTGCACTATAGAAATGAAAGGCTTGTGTTCAGTGTAGGAATGGAAGTTCTGGTGGCTAGTGTCTAGCATTTAGTGCGTCAACCTCCCTTTGCGCATTCTCGGTACAATGTCGCTGTGAGGCCGACCACATTTAGCTTAGAGTTTGCGCTCCTGATAATTGGATTTCGTGAATGATTATGTCTAGAATTAGAAAAAGAACCTTGATTGCTTCCTCTGCATCCACGTACGACTTGTCTACGGATCAAAATTGATCTGGTGCAGGATCATGTTTTTCAGTTTATTAACAGGCTTGACATTCGTAATTAATATCATTAGCACTATGAGCTTCTTACCAGAACGGCTGAAATGGGTATGCTTACCGGTATGTAGCTGTCATATACCGGTAAGCATATGTCTGTTTACGTACATGAAATGTTATCGAAAACACCTTACAGTCGTTAATCGATTTGGTTTGTAATCATGGGCCAGTCTCCCAGCACTCAACAACGTCTCTGTGCTTCAACATGCTCAACCCCGTCATTATTTCCACTCCCATCTGATGAAGACGATATGCCTATAGATATTATACTCGATGTGGAGTTGGAGATTGTATCTGCTAAAGTACGAAATAGAGATTCATTTGATTTGGTGTGTCATCTGATGAAAGACATTCTTGTGCGACATTGACCCACTTTTCTTCCTCTTTCGATACGATATAAGGACATTATTGCAGGAGATTATTTAGGTGTTACAGCGTTAATGAACGGCCAATTGTGCTCAAGTGATGCCTACACTATAATTGAAGTAAATGGTCAAAAAGTGGCCTGGACTCACCCTGTATTTTCCACACTCGAACCTGTTTGGAACGAAAAGTTTTTCTTTAAAAATGTACAACACAATTCTCTTTGTAGATTACACTTGTTTGACAAAGACGTGAATGCCGACGATGAGTTGGGGGACACTTGTTTCGCGATAGCAAACACAAATGGCGTGTGGTCGACATCCGAGCTGGCCATCTCACTCAATCGAAGACATGCCGGCACCATTGTCGTCAAGGTTATTGTCAAAGTTTTGAATGTATATGGAGCAAATGTAAGGTCTGATTATACATGTTGGTGTGTGTATGTTGCAGGTCAAGTCAAATCCAGTACGCCCTGAACGTGGTGATGTATTCCATGAGTACGGTCCTGTGCGCTATTCTGTACACTCGAGTGTAACGGCTGGACTCATGACCATGTCACTGTCAAACGATGCGAAGGTGGAATCTTTGGCATATCATGTCCAGCTACACAATATCTCGCAGTTTTTGTCCACGGAGCACGAGTGGAACAAGGATTACCCAACGATTCAGCGGATTTTCTCGTCAAACTACCCTGAGTCACTGGTACTACGTCAAGCAATTATGACGCAGCATGCCGTCATTTACACGCACGGCCCTAACAACACAAGATACGGCTCAATTTCTTCACCTGCTGAATTTTTTGAACTTATTCACGACGGCAGGCGCCAGGACAAGCCAGTGCTGTTCACTTACGTAATCACAACGAATGGATGGTACTTTTCCGAAACAGGTGCAGCATTTTTTAAGGACATGCTATCAAAGCATATGTTGCACTCGGGTGCTGCATTTTCTGTGTTGTAAGTGCATTCTTGTGTCGTTCTTTTGTTTATGACTCACGCGTGGCGCTATTGTTTTAATACTTTTGTAAACAGGTACGCTGGAGAATTTCGTGTCGATAATGTTCTGTTTGGTGAGCCAAAGCTCATTATTGACAACGACAGCGGCACGTACGCTCCGCCTGCGGCTATTTTACCACAGTTAAAGGCGCTCATTGAAGACAACTTTCCACAGATTGCAGTTGAGGCGTTGGATCGCGAAAACGAATACCTGCAGCAAACACGCAAGGAAATCCTCAATTTGTGGACTTAAACACCACTTACTGCCGAACAAATTTATTGAAAAATAACGCAGTAATAGCTTCAATGACAAACTACAAGCGTCGTAGTGTACCCCCTCCCCCCCATTCAAAACACTGATAAACTACTGCTTAACGCAGATAGTAAGTGTTAGTCGAGCAAGTACATGTCTTCATCTGGGCTGGATCCAGATAAACATGTTAACTGTCAGCTTGTCTACGCCCAAGAGTCCAAAATCTCCTGACGTGACCTTTTCAGCTCTTCATCATTGCGGTCCTTCGCTTCCACTGAAATCCCCGCAAAATTGTTTTCGAATAACTCTTTGAGTTTAGGAAGATCTTCCTTTGGTGGGGCGTACGTGCCGCTGTTGTTGTCAATCAGTAGCTTGTACCTCCCGCAGTGCTCCTTCTTAATGTGAAACTCGCCCGCGTACTTGACTGAAAAAGCAGCATTTGCGTGCAGCATGTGCTTTGATAACATGTCTTTAAAGAAGGAAGCGCCCGTCTCGGAAAAGTACCAACCTGTCGACGTAATTGCGTACGTGAAGAGCACTGGTTTGTCCGATCGCTGGCCATAGTTGATTAGCTTGAAGAAATCCGATCCGTCCTCAAGCTGTCCGTATTGTGTAGTAGCTCCGTGTCTGTAGATCACAGCATGCTCGGTGACAATTGCCGTACGGAGTGCCGGAGACTCTACATGGTCGGGAGAAAAGATCTTTTGAATGGTAGGGTAGTTTTTGTTCCATTCGTGGTCGTTTGGCATGATCTGAGAAATGTTGTGCATCTGCAAGTGATAAGCCGAGGCTTGGAGCTTGCCGTCTTCCGTCATGTTTTGGGTGAGAAGACCCGAGGTGATGCTTACGTGGATCGAGAAGTGCACGGGTCCAACCTGCTGCAGCTTGCCGTCGCCAATGACCGAGGTCATGTGCGACTTGACTTTGACTACAATAGTACCAGCCTCCGTGTCATTGCGAGTAATTGGGAGCTCAAATGTTGTCTCAGTATTGTCTGTATTGGTGGCACTAAAGTGCGTCTGGCCCAGTGCATCATCACCATCCATGTCTTCATCCAGTAAATAGAGTGTGCACAATGTGTCAGGTTTGACGTTTTTAAAATAAAACTTTTCATTCCACACGGGCTCAAGCGTATTGAGAATAGGACGTGTCCAAGCCACTCTCTGGTCTGCTACTTCAATGAGAGCGTAGGCATCACTGGAAGCTACACAACCTTTAAGTGCAGCTTTCATGTTAAAATAGTCCCCAGCAGCAATGTCCTTTGCAGAAAGTATCTCAAGTTCAACGTCAAGCACTGCATTCTCAGACATTGACGTTGACGTAGGAGAAGCAGAAGAAGAAGAAGGGCTTGGCCCATTGGATAGAATCAAATAGTATCGAGAGGTCGTGAGGTCGAGAAGGAAAATGAAGAAGTGAAGGTACTGGTTGAAGATCGTCAGAAGATCACACGGAGTCATGCGACATGAAGGTAATCCATCTGTTCAGTTCGGTTGGTATGTAACGCCTGATCGTTGCAGACGAGCACAAGAATCTGTTGCGATGAATGTATATTATATATACAGAATAGATAGACAACGATGTACGAGCACAGTTCCATGCTTATGCTTATAAACTTTGCTAATGTTCATCATGTGACATTATACAACGTGAGCTGTGTCAAAATACGTAAACGTGTATACTTTGGCACATGTTGGTGATCATATGAAAGCTCTTTGCTACCAAATTGGTATTGTACAACGGATAAATCACATGACACCTATTGGGTTTATCCGTTGTAGAATGAACAAAACGACTAAACAGATGTATAAGTTTGGAAGATAACATGGACTTTGATATAATCATCTCTTAGCTTTGCATACAATGGATCTATGCGTGAGCTTACAAATTCGTTTGCTGAAGTTACATATTGATCCTAAAGCTCATCCCGTCTATATCATGTTATCCGTCAATGTCTTGAAAATAAATCAGCTCCTTATCAAGCGTTATCCTACCTCTCCAAGCTTATTCTGAAACTAGAAGAGCCACACAGATCCTGCACCTGCTGAATATCGTCCCTCCGAGAGCGGGCGTGGATTATTTCTGGGCAGGTGCTCTGCAGCCGTTTTGGGGCTCATCCTCGTGGGCGGACAACTCGTGGATCTAAGGCCCCGACCTCCCAAGCTGCGGCCACGCCATGACAACCGGATTGCCGATGGCACCATCAAGCGCTTTGAACACCAAGCGACCGTGGCGGATAGATTATGATACACGCTCTCACCGCGTTCCCCACGCCACTCGCCATTCAAGTTGCACCGTGGGGCGATGGCTGTCCTTCTTGGCCTCGCCGCACCTGGATGATGAGGTTTCTGTCAACAAAGCCGGTGCCCTGGCACTTCGACAGCTCGACCGTTTACGCAAGCTTTTCTGTGGCGAGTCACCGCCACAGAAAAACTAACGATCGTATTGAAGGGAGACCGGAAGGATTTGGGTGGGTGGGTCATACTAAGCCACCCGCCTCGTCCTATACTGACGGATTGTAGCTCAATAATACCTTGTCGAACCGGATGGCTTTGCTGCTGATTGGGCTCGATGTTGGACGCTCCTCCGCAAGGCCGCACTACAAGTATATAGATCAAGCGAGTTACTTGTGTCTTCCGCGGCAAAGAGATGACGGCACAGGAAGGGGTAGTGGCCTACTGGAATGAAACAGCCTAGCAACTATGAGTTATCGAACTGGGCGCGACCGCTCGGTCATTGGCGACGACATGCTGTAGCAGTTTGGACCCGTGCTTTACTCGATAGATTCGAGCTATATCAACAATATCATCAACGATACCACGACACGACGGACAATACGTACCACGAGTCTTCGGCCCACCACGTGCGGCATTCGACGTTCTTGTCGACAGATAATGAGTAGGACCAGCCGTTTAGCGGATCTTCTCTCCCGGACACGCGGAGGCTTTCGCAGGAGCGTCAAGCACGTCATCATGGTCTACAGATGACGACCCAAGACATTCTACGATGAAAGTATCGACCAAGCTGACTTCTTCTATTTGCTCATGATAGTAAGCGTCAAAACAAATCTACGCTCTACGCATATGTTCCCATCGAAATGAGCTGGTATTAATCCGAGATGGGGCGAGTTTTCAAGGATATCTCGTCCAAAAGGTACATTCTGCCGTTGAACGCTCAATTTTATGGAAAATACTGGAGAATGTTGAGTGAATCCTCGGAGAATTGCACGCTGCTGACTGACAACATCAGCGGAACTTATGCGCCGCTCAAAGAAGAGCTATTATTGCAGGTGAAGACGCTGCTGAAAATTACCTTTTCTCGACTCTAAGTACAAGACTTAGACCGCAGTAGCAAAGAGCTCAAGATGAAATGCAAAAAGGTATGTAAACGCATGAACAGCTTCGTAATACGCAGGGAAACATGCAATTCTTGCCACGGATTCTCGTGAACTGCTTTCAACAAGTCATGAGATATCTATCATCAGCACATGGACCATCTTATTTTGGGTCATGAAGTTAATATATGTCACTTGATCATTTTATTGAACCCATTCGATTGAACCCATTTTATTGAGCCTATAATTCTCTCTTTATTGTCATATTATAATACAATGGGAGACAAGTATGATCGTCAATTACGATTATGGGGTGCCGAAGGTCAGCGACAAGTAGCCAATACGCATCTTCTACTCATTGGATCATGTGCTACTGGCTCTGAAGCACTTAAGAATCTTGTCTTGCCTGGTATTCAGCGTTTTACAATCTTGGACGATCAAATAGTTACGCACGCCGATGTAACGAATAATTTTTTTGTGACGGTGGAGTCTATCGGGAGCTCTCGAGCTGAGACTATTGCTAAGTTTCTATTAGAAATGAATACGGATGTATCTGGAAAGGCACGTCATGCGCATATTAAACAAATACTAGAGGAAGAACCTCAATACTTGGACCAATTTGATTTAGTCTTGGCGACGCAGTTGGACGAGTTGGTGACAGTGGAATTAGCTCAAGTCTGTCTTATGAAAAAGCTTCCACTGGTGATAATTAGTTCGTATGGATTCATTGGATCATTGAGACTACAGGTACCTCAACACGCTATCATTGATGCAAAATTAGACCCCCCACGACATGAATTGAGACTGTCAAAGCCTTTTGTGACGTTGGATACTTTTGCACAGAGCTTTGAATTGCAGTCCATGTCAACGATTGATCATGCTCATGTGCCTTTTGTGATCTTGTTATTACAAGCAATTAAGAAGTGGAAAGAGAATCATGATGGACAAGCACCTAGAACATTTGTAGAAAAGGAAGCATTTAAAAAGAGGTTGCAAGAAATGGCATGGGGAGCTTCGGGTCATGAAGTGAATTTTATGGAAGCTGCTGAAAATGCCTACATGGTCTATGTGCCTCCACACGTGCCGGAAGAAGTAGCATCAGTGTTAAGTGCTGCTGCATTGCACACTGTGTCAATCGAGGCTTTGGAGAAGACAAAGAAGATGAAAGAGTTTTGGCTTTTAGCTGATGCTCTGAAAGCTTTTGTGGAGGAAAATGAGGGATTGCTACCAGTCACGGGAGTTGTGCCGGACATGACGGCGTCTACGGAATCGTATATCGCGTTGCAGGAACTGTATATGACCAAGGCCAAGGAGGATGCAACAGAGGTTTACGAGATCCTGCTCAAGAAGCTGCATGACTTGAATCTACCTGAAAGCACGATCTCGTTTGATACCGTGGCAGCATTTTGCAAGAACGCCCCAAGTATTGGCGTGCTGGAGACACGCAGTGTAGCGCAAGAGTACAAGCATGTCAACTTGCCGGACATGGATCTGGACGACGAGGACAAGGAGCAATCGCCTTTGATCTGGTATTTCATGCTCCGAGCAGTAGGTGTCTTTGCTTCTACATTCAATCGTTACCCTGGCTCAGATGATGCTACTTCCACTCAAGACGAAGCATGGCTTGTAGCAAAGGCAAAGGCTTTATCTGCTGGCAGTGACGTCGCGGACTGGATCACTAATGATCATGCACTGGAGATGACCCGCTCTTGCCAGGTTGAACTGCATAACATTGCCGCTGTGCTTGGCGGTGTTGCTGCGCAGGAAGCTGTGAAACTGATCACGCACCAGTTTGAGCCGCTTAACAATACGTACCTATTCAACGGCATCTCGGGCGTGGCTGCAACGTATCAGCTTTGAGTTGACCTTTTATCGTAATTCAACAACAAGACGTGGTATTGGTACTAACGCAGAACCCGCCCTACATTTAAACGTCACCTGTTGGACGTTATTGCTTTTGTCACGACTAGGCTAAGGAAGACACGTACTTTTTCACCGCCCCTGGTTGCTGCATTTCGTCTTGGATTTCTTTTTCTGTTTTTGGTTTCCAGAACTAGAACGTCGAATTTGCTTACCTGCACGTGGACTCGTTCGCTGAGCTGTTTCAGAACTTGCACAATAGTCTTGCTCAGACCGTTGTCGCTCCAGAACGCACCGCGGGCAAAAGCATTTAAACTTGTACTCGCGCAAGTTTGCTTCACGCGTTTTCACATCCATGTCAACATCGATGTAGCAGATACAGAGCTCCTCACCTTTTTGAATGTCACGGATAGCAACTACGTGTCCGTCACCATTCTTCGTGTACAGCACTGTGCAATTTGGGTCGCAACTGTGATTCATGGTGCAAATGATTGGGAAGAGCGCAGTGCCTTCAATACAAGGATAGCCCAGAGGCATCGACGGATCAAAGCCAGGATCCACTTTGTTGCGATTCCTTGCCAGGCGTTCCTTTTTCTGAAGTATCTGTATGCGTTCTTCTTCCCATTCTAGCACGCGTCGTACGCTAGCAATCAAAGCCTGTTCCTCACTGTTTAGCTGAGGCGACGCTCGATTGTGTTGACCATCAGTACCTCCTGCGGTCACTTCCTGCTGCACGTCTGGATCTAGGATATCTATGAAGGCACGGAACGGATGATCAACCTCCATACTGATATTATTCATTTCGAAAAGGCCGATCTGAGCGGTGAAAAACTCGAAACTCAAAAGGCTTGAACAGTGACGCCAGATCTCCTCCACCGTCACACCACGCAGTTGGCCTTCCCGCTCAAGTCGCACCAAATTGCACTCTAAGGCATCAATTAGTAATTGGTGCGTCATCGTGAGCACTTCCTGCAGACATTGCGCCTTCGTCGATCCATTTCCCAAAGTACCACTAGTATCTGCCATCCAATCGCCTTCTTTCTCTTTTGCTTGCGTCAGTCCCTGTTGTAAGTTGTGTACTTGAGCAATTGTACTGCTGTTAGCTTCGGGCATGGCACCTTTCGGTTCGTCGTCAATGTCTTTAATGTCTTTTGGAGAACCTTCGTCGTAATTGCTGCTATCTCTACTATCGCTGTTTGTCTCATCGCTGCCACTTGTAGTAATCTGACGTGACATTTCCTCACTGCTTTGATATGCACGTGCCATTCGTATAGGTTCGTCATGCTCGACAACAACCACCTCCCACCACGGTTTCTTGTAAAACATATCAATCGGTTCTCGTGCCTTGACAATATCTCGCCACACTAAATACCGCGAAAGCACGCGAGCAATAACTTTTGCTGCAAGTAAAAAAATATCGTTCGTGTGGCGTGTGTGTTCCTGAAATGCACCCATGGCCGAGCATGGATCCTTACGTGGGCACAAAATAGCATGAAACTCATGCAATGCTCGCATTCGACACAATTTGGAGCAATAGAGTTCACCACATGCACATTTTGCTTCTGCTTTCGCCATACCACAGCTTTGTGGCGTAATCCGTAATAGCTCGAGTGTTTTTTTCAATGCATCTACCTGTACTGGTTCCATATCGATCTCTGCTCTTGTTTCTTCATTTTGATCATTGTTTGGTCTTGTTGTTACAAATGGAATCTGTTGAGCATTATAACGTGTTACAATCTCACGCCATTGATGTGATGTGTCTTCTAGTAATGGCAAATAACAAAATTGACAGCATGGGACGATTTTCCGATTACGTTCATGTTGCATTGCCACAAGTGGGGATTCCGTCCATATTCTTGTCGCTTTTGGTAGATCCTTTTCAGCATAAATCGCTTTCCCTTTAATAGGTCCTGCATCACCACATACTATTGGAGCTTTAGCTTTACTAATGACAACTTGAAAGTAATTGCTAGCAATTGGATCACTTGGACCATAAGGTGCAGCAACACTTGAATAGCGATCTACTATTATAAAGTCGAAATTGTCGTTGTCGTTTGTAACATAGTGTTCATACAAAAATCAAGATTAAAATATAACCGACCGACTAGAGTATAAGAATAATAATAAAGCAATAGCGTACGAAAGAGAATTAAGATAGAGTACTTACAATCAATCCGACTTTTAACAACACTATGAAGTGTAGATGACTTTAATGTCGTATAACGTGATGACTGAAGCTCGAAATCCACGTCCATGTCGTCGTCGTCGTCGTCGTCGTCGTCGTCTTACACACGACAATGTTTTAGTAAAAATAGCCTTAATCGGACCTTTATCGTCGTCTCTATTATAAAGGACACTCTCGAATGTCTTCGTCGAATACTAAAAATGAAGTAGAAGCCAGTCGAATTCGAAAGAACAGCAAAAGTCGGACACTACTTTGATTGGATTGCATAAAACGAACCATTCGTAAGATTCTAGATTTAGGTGAAAGTACTGTTGTAGTCTTAGAAACAGTCATCCATCTTTCATCGCAACAGGAGCGTCAGGATGATCATGGAACAGTGCAAAAACGTCGTGATTATTTTGACAAGGACTCTATTTTTCTCGGACACGTGATAGATAGTCAGTAGTGTTAATGATATCGAATGGATATGATAAGTTCGACGACCTATAGCTACGTCAAAACATTGTGCTTATGCAAATTACATTAACAAAAAGAAGAAGAATAGGCAAGAAGTGACGTTGCATTGTCTATATATACTGTTATGTACTGATAGACGGCTGAGAGGTAGACATCTAGGCATTGATTCTGCTTCGGTAGCTGCGTCAGTATAATCGAAAGTCGCTAAAGCTGCATGTTTATCGTAAGCCCTAATGGACTCGTAGCTCTACTACTCGTAGCCATAGCTTGTCAACAGAGCTACAAGTTTTAAACCGTGAACAAAGCAGTGACGCATGCAGCTCAACATGAATTGGCCGCAAGTGATCGTGTAATACATTAACCCCGTGGCACTTGACGCAGTGCTGTGACTCGAATGATCCGACGCCGTCCGACGCTGCATAGACACTCGAATACAATGCAACGACCATCATCAGTACAATGGCTACATGAAGTAAACTCAGCGCGTCCAGTCAACAAGTCATTGATGGCAATATCCTTAGAATAAGCTTATCACTAAATCGTTCACAAGACCTGCGCGACAAGAACTCGAGCTGTGGTGAAGCGGATTAAAGGCAGCAATGTCAATCTTGACGCTTGCAAGAGTCAACACCCCCGGGCCAACGAATGATGAAGTACGTAGTTGGTATCGGAAGGTTTATGGTGCGTTTTAATGGGGTACAGTATAGCTTGGCAATGGCTTTATATAACGTTTGATACCAACAGCGCCAATAGCGAGTCATGAAGCAAATGACTGGCGCAAAGGTATGATACTGGTTTTTGTATTGGTTTGTACTTTTCACCTTTGAAAGTCGATATGATGTTACGTACAACAAATACACGAATGCACGACTACAGTATCATATTGTCATTTGGTATTACCTCTTCGTTCTTATTATATTGCAATGTAAATAGTATATTATATTATTCAGGTACAACCACTTACGGAACATCAAGCAATTCTAAAGTGCGTGCAAAGTTCGTTTCGATTGGAGACCAGTCAGTATTGAAGCTATACTAACGCTATATCTCGGACATTTTCAAGTGTATTTCAAGTATAAAACGACCTTTCTTCATTCATTCATTCATTCACTCAACTCGCTATTGAATAATAATAATACTATTATATTGTTTACAATGGAAGATGACTGGCCAGCAGTAGCTGCTTATTTTAAAGCACTGCTACAGTCACGTTTGCATAGTCCACCTATTCGATGCGGTCTTGCAGGTGTAAAGGGTAAAGCCATATTTGCTGGTAAACCACTTCGAGCTGGTGAACCTATTTGGACGGAAGCACCATTTGTAGCAATGCAACATGAAGATAATAAGGAGTTTGTTGATTGTTGTGACAACTGCTTTGTGCCACTTATTGACAGTAAAGCGTGCTGGGCACGTGTTGTAACTAGCAAGAGTTCTGAAGTGGAAAGTGAATCCGTTCCTGCTGATGAAGCTATGGCCAGTGAGGCAGATTTTGAAGCGGCCATTGCATTTTTACAGAAAGAAGGCGGTAAGAGTCCTGAAGAGAGCTACTTTTCAGTGTTTCAACTGGCAAAGAGTCTGGTCAAATGTACTTGTGGCGTTGTCTACTGTTCTAACAACTGCAAGCAGATTGCGTACGCACAACATCACGCACTCTTGTGTCCACATTCGGAAGAACGAGAGAATGCCATGGGTCAATTTCTTAACCATACACTTGTGACAAATGAGATTTTCCAGCTTGCAGCCAAGGTCTTGGCAAAGATTATACTGCTCTTTGTGGCAACGCAAGACATGGCGCAAGCCAGACAACCCGTTGATATTTTTTGCAAATTGCCATGGTGGGAAGTCATTACGTCAGAGGAAGATTTGAAAGACGGAGAAACGCTGGAAGAATACAGGGACAAATTTCGCTCGCTGCTTTTGCAGACATACGACTACTTTATTAACGGCTTGAGGGAGAACCTTGCTCACTTGGAGACTCAGGGAGAACTCAATGGTCTTACAGCAGACGCGGTGCTTGTGTCATGCGATGAAGTGTTAAGCGTCGACTTTTTCAGTCGCGTGGTAGGCATGTTTGAGATGAACAACATTAGTATGGAGATCGACCACCCGTTTCACGCGCTAGGTGAGGCGCTGGGTGAAGCCAGTCCTGAAGAAAAGAAGGACATGCCGCCAGTGCTAGCCCGCGTCAAGACGGCGCTTGAAAAGTTTGCAAAAGAGCACAATCATCAGCTTTGCGAATATGACGAAGGACGCAATGAACATAGCGAGGAGGAATGCTACGCCGCGGACGAAGATTTTGTGGGCGTGGAAGGCACTGCACTGTTTTCAGGTATTTGCACAATGAATCACAGCTGTGACCCAAATTGCACAGTGCTGTACACCAAGGACGGAGCTGCTCACGTGTTTGCCGTACAGGACATTGCGGTAAGTATGCAAAGTGCTTGAGACATTAATGTACGAGAGGTTCTGACTAGATGGGTGTCGAATTGACAAAATGACAAACAGGAGGGCGACGAGCTATGCATTTCATATATTGATGTGGACCAGGAAGTGAATGAGCGGGAGGATTATCTTCGGTGTGTATGCCATTCAAGCTGTTGTGCGTGTGTCAATGTTGAATGATTGCCACAGATTTACTGATGTATAGTGCTTTTGTGTATTGGCGTTAATGTCCGACCAAGCAGGGAGTATCAATTCGTATGTCATTGCACCCGGTGTGAGGAAGAAAGAAAAGCATAGAAATGCTATCTGCGAGTCGTAAAGAGGTCGTGATGAGCTAATTGACTTGTTGGTGGTGAGATCTAAGCTCTCGTGACACGGCAATTGCGGGTGTAGCACAACACTCTTTTGTGATGTCTTTGTTGCAGCTCCAGAGCAATGTCGCCCATTTCACTTTGTATTGCGTTTTACACGCTTGGTTGTAGACGCGTATGGCTGTTTGGTACCGTTTATCGTCCAAAAGAGACAAATAAGTCTCTAAGTTGAACCACTTGGTACGTATATGAACCATAAAGTTAAAATTCTCATTAAAGGTTTACTGGAACATTATTGTTCAATAGTTAAAGCATTATTTTGTGTTTGGAAAAAGTCGGTTTTAAACGCAACTAAACATGGATCATTCCTTAATCATCGGACTGCTCTGAAGTAAATTTATGGTTGTTATTGCACCTTTTTACCTTCTACGGGTTGCGTAGAATTTTGCACTTTTAACCTGCAACATGTAATGCTTGCTTGCTCTAACTGTGTCTATTTCCATTGCCCTTATACGAACTTGGCATATATGTTGAAGTTGCAGAAAAAGAAGATTGCAAAGAAAAGCGACATGGGTCGAAATAACAGAAAATAAGTATGGAGGAAGAAAGGCCGAGCGGTATGAATTACAGAAACGGCAGACGGAGCGTGCAGTAGGGTAAGGAAGTTAGATTAGGATAATGATACGCATGGTCCTACCATCCTACCTATGTATAGATCCGCTCCTACTAAATGTAGCATAAAACGTCCCATAATGTAAATTGAATTTAGTGACATGGTTGGTCGTCATGACAAATGCGTCTTCCAAGCAGGACCAAATTGTAAGTGAAGAATACATAAAGGGCACAATAGCTTAATACTAACGAAGTATTCACGACAATGACTGTGAGTCGAAACGCATGTAGGACAATGTTTGAAACATTCAAAAAGTCAAATGTTAAAGTTGGTCATCTCTCTCGATTAGATAAAGTCATAACCACATCTTGCTAATACTTCTATCAACGATAGAAATGGAAAATGTGAAGACTTAAATGTCCTACACACTATGAATAATACGTGGTCAAAGTCCTATGCAACCGCGTTGTAGCCAATACGACGACTCGCTTTATCGGCGAGCGCTAGCATAGTAGCACCTAAGACGGCGCCAATGATAACCCAGGCAAAGGCGACCGGGTAACTCTGTCCTTTCAGCTCGATATCAGTAGTCTTGGCTGCTTCTCGAACAAAACCTTGTGTAGTCTCACGGTCGACTTTCAGGAGCTGCTTGTTGAACTTGGGCTTAAATGTGTCACCAGGCCACGACGCAAATTCGCTACTCTTCAACCACCACGTCGGGTATCCAATCGACATCTGCTGTTTCGGAGCCTCGCCTGTGGTCATGTAGCCATCACTGTACTTGCCAATCAATGTCCATGCAAGCTGCCACCACTGGGCAACAACAAGGTCGGCAAACTCATTGCTTTGAGCTTGCAAGCGGGTTACTAGTTCGGTATCGGTAATGGTAACCGATTGGCTCTCTATAAGCGCTTCCGTTTCCATCTTACGACGCAGAGCAAAAGCTGCAGTCTGGAGTCGATCAATGTTGCCTCGGATTTCAACACTCATAGCATTGAAACGCAGTAGACTCCAGTTGTTCACAATGTTGAATGCCCACCAAGCAGACTGCGGGTGAAACTTGCTCTGTCGACCGAGCAAGTACGACTCTGGGACCGTATTCTGTGCGCAAGAAAATGGAACGAAGACTGAACCGTGAGGGGCACCTTGAGCGTACCATGCAACACCACCAAGAGCATCCGGTCCCTTATGACTGCGAATTTGAAGTACAAAGGCAAAGAGTGTGCGATACATGGAGATCGGACGTTCCCATCCGCCAGTGACACCTCCAGGACTACCTGACCACCGCACAGGAGATCCAAAAGGTCCAGCTGCTAAGCCTTTGGTCATGTCGTATTGCGTACCTGCATAGTAATCACGAAGCAAGTCCATAATCTGGTAAGTCTCCACAGGATGATCGGGCTTGATGGAGAACGGGTAGGTAGCGTACTGTGAAAAGCTACCGAGACGAGCATCGAGCTGCAGTGACGGAGCAAGCACATCATAGACACGCCAGATGCGACGTCCAGTGTACAATGGCCCTATGGCATCCTTATCAGCAAAACCGTACGAGGCTGTAAAGTCAAATGGCTCGTCTCCTTTCGGATCCCACCAGCCCATTTCGTTTGCAAGTGAGACCACGTTGGTCGAAGCCATGAACCAGTCAGGCTGACTCAAGTCAATCTCACGGATCGTAAAGCCATTGGCAAGGACAGTCACATGTCCGTCCGGTACGCGCTGCGCTGCCCATACTGCACCAGTGTGGTCCTTGCCCGTCATGAGGTGAAAAACCCACACTTCACCATGTTTATCACCTACTACAAGGGCCTCAGCGGAATCGCCATAGTCTGGTTTCGCCATATCACCACTGTCTTCACTGTAGAAGCCGTGCTTCTCAGCGAGAGTGCCCATAACATTAATCGCGCAACGAGCAGTAGCACAACGTTCAAGCGCAATCTTCGTGAGCTCTGCAATGCCAAATAAATTCTTGCCTCCTGGCACGTCAAGCGGCCAACCGACCGTTTTGGCACCACATGTGCTTTCACCAATACTTAGCTGCACCTCATTCATCATTCCATAGTCCTGGTCAAAGTACGCATACGTGTGCTCTACCTGGGGAATATATCCCATTGGCATTGAGTACTCTTGGGTTTGTCCAGTCTCCGAGTCGTCTACAGGTTGGTAGTGAAGTCCTCGATCTGATGTCACCACTCTGGGATAACCACCCTTGATGTTGTAGACTGCACGCTTGCTGCCCGGCTCATGATCCTGGGCTGGTACACGAACAAGACGTAGATCCGAGGCAGCACCACCAGCGTCATCCGTGTGAGCGATTAGCGTCGAATTGTCAACACTTGCGCCTTTTGTCACGGCAATGGCTGTGCATGCCTTCACGTGAACATCTTGCAATGATGTCGCTGCAACTGCAATTGCAACAGCGTATAGATGCACATGAAAGGACTTCATCTTGTACAAGTTTGAGCTTGAACTGTAGATCGTTGATGCCGGTAGTCCAAGTAAAAAGGAAGAATGAGAGCTTATGACTTCTAGTTGAGTAGAGATTCATCCTATTCCAGGTATTGACGAGTATCGATCCATCCATCCATCAACGATCACTTGGTCAAACGATGGCACGACTTTGGGATCTGACTACAAAGGTACGTTTTCTTTACTTAAACAGTTCAACATGCAAGTGACCACATCGTTATCAACTCGTCTTCGCACAATCTCATTCGGTGCTGTTTCAGCACACCCCACATGTGACGAGGCATGCGTTTCTTAACGGTCAACCAATCTGACCGTCAAGTCGTTGTGAATGAAGTGCATTAATGAGTTACGAGGGTGAGGTCCTCACTCAGCGATATCGGTTCATGATATTGAGCGTACAAGGTCTAGTAAAGACCTATTGCAAATGAACTGTGTAACGGATTGCAACATCTAAGTCGAAGCTTTGAGTGTGTATGAAAATTCAGTGTTCTTCCTAGTTTGGCACAAGTATCTAGTTGTAGAAAGTAAGCAATAGTCGTTAGACCAAAGCAAGAGAGACGAGTCATGTCGACATTACGACGTTTCACTGTTCGAAGTTGAGATCGAGTAGATCTTGAGAAACCATGAAAGAAAAAGATAAAGTAGAAGTGCGACAATAGGAAATAGAAGACAGAAAAGCAATGGAAGGTAACAAGAACCAGATCAAGACAGTGCATTAGATGAAGCTAAAGCATAGACATGTACGACGAAAAGCTCGATTGGAGCAATAAAATGTACGACAAGTACGTACAAAACGTGAAAAGCAGGAAAGGACAAAACTTTACTGCCGTAAATGTAAATTAAAAGGAATAGACAAATAAAGTACTCTAATACGTCCTTTATTTCGACTTCCTATTGTAATCAGAATAGTTACTGTCATTTTTCAACTTGATAATTCAAGCCCATGGCAATAAGACTTTCATTCTGCGTCGTGGTGTCTCTCTTCACAAGTAGTTTCTTACTCTCTCTTCTCTCTTCTCTCTCCTCGTTACTCTTATCTTCACCAATCTCCTTCCTTGCCTTCCTTTTCTTGTCTTTATTCCCAACTCTTGTATCTATAAATATCGTAAATCAAGGTTGGAAGTATCACATTTATACGCATCTCTATGACTCTATTCCTTATTTGCTTCGAACTCATCAAATTGAGACGAAAGAGACGATATTTCCACCAATGAAACAAGTCCAACGTGCTCGATCTGAACTCTTTCAATCGATCCATGAAAACTGGCTCTATCCCAATCAAAACCTCGCGTCTCTTCGTCACTCATTGAGTCAATCATCTCGTACGAAGCATCAAGTCTCATCCGACTTGCTCGCTTCTTCTACAGCGAGTACTAGTTCATCATTATATGATCAAGTCAAAGGACATTTCAAGGATCATGTGATTACCAAGACACAGCTTCAACCCGTCTATCTAATGGATTCTGCAACGGGTTCATTCCTACGAGCGACATTACATCGAAAATTGGTGTTTAGTATCAAGCCCAATGGATCGTGTCTCTTTTATTTTGAACAAGGAAAATCTCATCATTGGGGACTACGATCAGTTATGACACAGCGATATATTGGACAAAATCTCGTGCAAAATCTCGTAGTCGCGAGCAAGAAATTACATGCTTGGGAAGCTTTTCGAGTACTACAAAGACCTCAAGATCATGGACTTGGAGCGTGCAGTCCTCAAGTGTATTTCATTTTAGGGGCTTCACGATTTGGAAAAGGCATGTGGCTTGCAAATAAATCGGGATCCATGAGCTTTGGACATTCGGCCAAAATGTCAACAAAAACGCGAAACAACAACTTGAATCAGGAGATTGAGAGTGAGAAATCGCATGTTGAAAGTAATTATCCAAGCAAACGTGGAACATCTCGACAGCGTGGATTGTTCTTGTCAAAGCAATTTGATCATGCTATTGGATTTGTCTACAGCTCAGATTTATCGGCCTTAATGGCAATTGCAGCAAGTGTGAGGTCACAATTGGACTCTTCGTTGGCTTCACGTACTAATGCAAAAGCTGAGGCAGCACCTCATTTCATTGGAACGTCACAGCAATTAAAAGGTGGTATGTTTCAGACCCCAATACTTGCGAGGTGGGATCTTGGTGATGTACGACTACCGTGGCTTGAAACTAGTGCAAATCCAGATTTTAAGCGGACACCTTCATTCCTACAAATACCAGAAAAAGAGATGACAGAATTGACGACGACGACTATTCGTGGATCAAGTGTGAATGGATTCCTTGAGATGATAGTTCCGCGCGCAATACGGACGAAGTGCAAGATCGATCAGTCGCGGTTGACACAGTCGGCACCAGTTGGAAGCTCTGCAACATCTTCACCGAAAGCGAGAGGAGAAAAATACGATAGTGTTGACTTACTTTGCGATTGGCATGCGCATCCGCACTTTGGACTGGTACGCGCACTCAGCCACTGCTCAGATAGTGGTGTTCTATCCAGCTCAGTGTGCAGTAGTAGGGGAACTACAAAATGCGAAGCACCCAACCGTGTGAAAGCAGTGACCATTGAGCAGTATCACTCTTGCACAGTTGACGATGACTTATCGGATGGTGATGGAGAAAATAAGATACAGGTGTTGCACAAGGCTACGCTTCGATTCAAGATGTACGCTCTCAGTATTCCTTACAGCAACTGTTTTTCGATTGAGGTAGTCGTGGATGTCGAGGATGTTCCAGTCAGTCCGGATGATGGAATTGAACGAAGCAGTTCCGCGGGTGGCGATACAACCTCGACTGGTACCTTCGACAAAAAGATTGATGGTAAATTAGCTGAAGGTTATCGGCACAACCCGGCCATGAAAATGCGTTGGCGTGCAGGCGTGATGTTCTCACGGAACACTATGTTTAAGGCACAAATTGAACATGGAGCTCTTGACGGGGTTCGCAATGCTTGTGCGTCAGTACTGAAACACCTACGAGACGAGAATATGAGACTGCAAACCACTTCACCTTTTGCGCGACGACGATCGTTTATTGACACCGACGGTCCGAGTGGTTTTATGAATGCCGACACTGCCTCCGCATTAGCCGCAAATGGTTCCATGAAGTCATTATCTTGTCGAGGAAAGTTTAGTATGAAGCCAGATTTGACATTCTTGCCACAAGCTTTTACAATTGAAATTGGGAAAGGACTTTTGTCTGCTATCAATGGTGCACATCTGGTTTCGGACAATCATAGTACGTTGCCTGCCTGGCTTCCATGGAGGCCATTTAGTGGCGAACAATCGTCATCATTTGGTCTGGTACCTCGGCACGCAGTAACAGCTGCAACTGCTACTCCTTTTTTCGAGAGTGTACCAGAAGAATTTACGCAAGTGCTTGAAGTAAACATGGGCAGCAAGGTGACAGCATCGCTGTTTTTTGAGGCATTGTTATCGGACTCTTGTTCATTTTTCCGCTCTGCTCACGCTGATAGTGGCACCATGGAAGTAGACATCAGCACTTGGCACGCGATGTTATCGCCTGGAAAGTCTCGCGAACGAACGGATGGAAATATTCGCAAACAGGTATTTCGAATGCTTCTTAACAGAGTTCCTGGAGTTGATATTGCTCAAGTTGAGGATTTCCAGTACTATGCGCTCATAAAAGCTCGAACTCAAGACCAAATGATGTCCGGTACAGGCCACGGAGAAACTGATAGCAATCGAAGTGTGAAACGAGGAAGCTTTATACAGTGTGTTGGCGGGTCTCAAATGTCGATGGGTCGAGATCATAAGTGCTCACTTTTTGGTTTGGTGAAGGATACGAAGGTTTATGAAATAACGCCTGGTAGTTTAAACTCTCAACGCCTTGAATTTGGCATGAAGGTTTATGTACCTGCGTTGCTTGAGGGGTCTCAGTTCTCGGTACGTTTGTGTTGGATGCATTACTTGTACGTGAATGCTTGTGACTGATAGCTTTGATGATTGCAACATGCAGATTGAAGTCTTGGTAATTGTGGAACCTGGTGATGACAATACTGTTGGCCACTTCCTTCGCGTGTTCTTCGCATTACCTCTGCGACACGGGCAATCCGAGACGCGTGAGCACGCTGTTATCAATCCGCATGTTGTGGCAGGCGTTTTGTGCGGTCTGAAGCAGATTTGGAAGCAGGTGGCACAAACAATGATGGAAATATGCGAGACTATTGTGCCACCTCATGGACATCAGTCGCTTAGTGAAATGGCTCAAGGATTCAAGGACCTAGACATGTATTTGTTGCAACAGTCGAGAATTAATCCGAATCTGCCAACGCATGATGAACTGACCTCACAGCTGATTGAAGCAATTGCAGCAGCGTACGAATGAGCAATATCTCTCGTTAGTTGTTGCATGTTTTCTTCTGAGCTATCGTAGGATGTTCACGGATTGATTGACAAGGAAGTTTCCAGAGATAATACCTACGTCTACGGCTTACAACAGATGCAGACTTAACTATCACCTTGGTGTTCACGTCGTGTTTATTCCATCTAACGATGCACTTGAAACTCATGAGACTAGAAATGATCTTGATGATCTAATCTTCATCATCATTAAAGATACAGAGATTGTGTCCATGGCTTGAATGAAATAAAAGAGATACCTTGCGTGCTAAGAAGAGTCAATGCCCTTTCATGTATCATTCTCTTAGAATAGATAGATCAACAAGAATCGGACATTTTGCGTGTTCTCACATAGCGTGCAGTCATTTACTCTTCCCTGCTGTGAGACTCTGGTCACTGCATCACCCCCCAATGAGCTGATCCATCCATTCTTTCTTTCTAGTTCATTGCTCTGATCTGGTCTTTGCCTCTTCTTCAGTATCCACAATGACATATGCTGCCATAAATCAAACCAACCTTCTGCATGCTTGGAATCTGCTACAAACACAGCTGGGTTAGCAGTCTAGCCACAAACACTACTTCCAGATTAGTTTGTTCAAATCATTTATGAACTCGAGTGAGGAGTACGACCAGGGCTGTGTATGAAGTTCGTTTTTTTACGACAGGCTGAGGCAAGAGCGCATATCAGGAGAAGCTAGATCCAACCATAGCAACTAACATCGTCTACTAGACGAGACAATTGGAATCATGCAGAGCGTGTATGCACGACATGCTTGTTTTCGTGGTTGTAGTCTTGATCAAAGAACCTGATCGGAATCTATCACTTGAGGTGACATTGAATCCATAAGTCACAATGCATAGTCAAGCAAGTCAAAGAAGCTTTAGACGTTAGCTACGTCCTATATTCTATGCTCTCTACAAACAACGGTCATCTATCTATCTAGCTCCTTCATGTCATACAAAAGTCTTTACATTGCATAAAAGTCTCCAGCTTGATGTCGTGAAAAAGCTGCATCTGAAAATTCCATTCTCGAAATCTCTTGCAGCTGTTTATGTGATTAGAATGTCTATGCGAAAGAAGCAGAAGATTGAGTAGAAAAGCGTCTTGCGCGACACACCAAATCAACAGGAGCGGAGGTACGGACAGGTTCAGCTGGAGTGGGTGATGATCGATGCAGTTAAGAAATCAACACCGCTGTCTAACGGCGGCTCGTATATCCTGAACGTTTTGAAAAAAACAAGTTTCAAACCCTGTGAAAGCCTCTTCATTTTCTGAAAACGACCGTATCCAGCAAGTTGAATCGTCACGAAAACCTCCACGACTATCACCTTGTTCAACTTCTCTCGCTCGCTCTTGCTCTCTCTTTACTATAACGATGAACATTCATGCTCTTGGTTTCTTCATGGCAAGTGCCATGTCAGCACGTTCTACTGCTGCATTTACTGTCACATCGACCTCAACTGCAGCTACTACTTCTAGCATGGAAAATGTGGGCTTTATGAAACAATGGACACTGAATGCTGCCAATACTGCCGATATTATTGACACGATTGACTTGAATCTAGCTGGTCGCGTGTACGTGACTCACATGAGTGGCATTCCAAGCGGTATACTGGGCTACGTAAACGTGTCGGGTAACTCGCAAACCGTCGTTGATGCCGTGACTGCAAGCAACGATGATATCAATGAATCGAAAGATAATGACGAGAATGACAATGACGATGCGAATGAAACCAATGGCAATGGTAGAGAGCTAAATGTACGCATTGGCAATAGTGCGTCAACGTCACCTGACGGATATCTATTGACAGAGATTGTCCTGGCTTCAAATGGTGTTGTAACGGATGTCACGAGTCAACGATCGGCTCAAGTTGTTATTGAAGACGGTGTCCTCGTAACAAGCAGCACCACAGCGGAACTTCAGATCGAGGCAAGTGGATCAAGTGCCGTGTTTGTATCATCAGCTAGCACGGCTGTGACTGTTCGCCAGCTGCATCTATATGCTTCAGGCTCGGCAAGTCTTCAATTCAACGTGATAAGTATGTCAGTCTTGGACGAGGCTCAATTCGAGTCACAGGGATCAGCAAGCATCTCACTGCTTTCGTCATCCCTTGATACCGTTCAGCTTGAGCTGGATGCACAAAACACTGGCACTATTTGTATCAATGCGCAGCAAGTCACGGCCAAGACCCATGAAAGCAAAGGCGGTAGCAGTATCTCTATGCCTAATGCAGCTAAAAAGTATGGTACGACGGGATCGTTTGCGTGCAATGAGGCAACTGTTCCAGCACGTGAGGCAAGCAACAGTTTATCCTCATCACCTGGTACGTCGACCAATGGTGGAGCAACGAATGGTGGAGCAACTACTAATAATGTCAGTAACAATACGAGTGCAGCTTCGATTCCACAAGTTACTGCATTAGCTATTGGGTTTCTTGGTGTCACCTTTGCTCGTCTTATTTTCGCTTGATAATACGATAATCCACTACTTTTTCCATGTCGTTTGGTCTTTATTTAATATCATGATATAATATAAAGTGCTAGAGTGACTAAAATATCAAGGAAATACCGGTATAAGGTTCATATCACTGATTTTGTGTCGTTAGTGAGTACTATGACAAAAAAACACGTCTGGCTTTGACATATTAACTCGCCTTTCTAATTATAATCAGTTTACAGTGACATAAAATAACGTCTGTTCAACAAATTGCTTGCTAGCGTGTGCCACATCACTGTACCAGCTATAATGTGGCGCACACCATTAGTTGTGGTACACTTTCTCTTCCTTTCATTTCCACCCGTGTCTATCTCCAAGCCGACTATTGATCACTCTCTTTAGTTGTCAAGTTCTTGCCCTTTGTCCGCGTCTTCAATCCCTGTACGTGTTACTATCATACGCACTGACGTCCTCTTCTTCGTGTCCATATTTTTTTACTCTCAAATTGCGTTATATTTACTGAGTTACATTGATATTAACATGTATTGTTCTTTTGTCCTAATCATAGTGTCCCAATGGCTGGATGGCCACAGTCACCAAGCTCGACTAATCTTCATCGTGGACAACATGTTCCGGACACAACAGATCCTCATTGCCTTGGTGCCTATGGCTCTACTGCCTTCCCCAGCAGCAATAGACAGTCGAGTAATGGCTTTGAACAAGAGAAACGAGGACTGGGGGGGACCAATGGCACCCTATCCGCCATCTATGGGCCTTGAGCTAAGGCCAAATCATCATCAGCAACAACAGCCACCGCCTCTACCTATGGCACCACCTTTACCATTGTCTTCTCCTCATTTACGACAGCCAATGGAGAATCTAGGGGCTTTCTATCATTTGCAGCATCAACAGCGGCTTTATCAGCAACAGGAATTTAGAAGGAGACCTGATTTCAACTCAGAATTAAGCTCATTAGCGTCTTTAGGTGGCCTTGAGCTTAGTGGACAGCACAGAAGAGTGGACAGTGGACTTGATTCTGTGCCTTTGAGTCTTGAAAGTACAAGACATTTAGGCACGCAAAGTGTGGGGTCGTCAAATGGAGACAGACGTAATTATGATCTTTCCAATGCAATGCTCAGTCTGGATTTAGGTCAAGGGACGCTAGGCGATAGCTCTGAACGTGGAGTATTTGGAGGAAGAGGTGAATGGAGCGAGACGTCTGCAAGTCTCTCGTCAGCATTATCTTCGACGTCGTCGCTACGTGATCAGATGAATGTACAGATGGCTGCATTGTATCAACATCCGATGCCTGTGAGCAACGACCGGCTAATGACTCAATCTACACAGCACCAGCGGCAACCGCAAGTGCATTCAGGCCATCACTTGTCAAGTGGGCTTAGCCATGACAACAATGGTAGTCATACTCGCTTTGAAGGGCGAGAGTTGTATTCTCCGTATCATGTAAACATCCCCGTTGGCAGTATGCAGTCACCAGCGTCTGGTGAATTAATAGGTTTTCCTGCGTCTAAATCGAGCAATAAGTCAGGTCATGGTGACCTTGCATCTGCGATGCCACCTTCAATGAAACATCACACGAAAAGTTCCACTTCATCGCGTACGCGCCGCTCTCCAGCAAAATCGTCGCAATTTTCTCGTGAGAACTCGACAATCTTGGTGACGGGAGGCCAGGGCAATTCAATCAATGTGTCACCACATGTCACAAAGCCCAACGACAACATTAAAGTACAAGTTTCTCTTCTAGCTGAAGAATGCATTATTGGACGAGTGCTCCTTGTGGGACTTTTTCGTCTTGGACAGGCAACAAATGAGAAGCCAATTTTTGTGAAACAAGTCCTGTTTGAAAGCAAGCTGCACCGAAATTACCGTTATATGAATACTCGTATTACATTCCGTGCCCCACGCTCTCCCGGTGAGTTTGAGTTCCGTGTGTTTGAAGACAAAAAGGGCCACAGTTATCAAATCAATGGCAAACGCCATGGTCATTCAAACGACGATCATCACGAGAGTCATAAGGTGTCTTACTCGAATTTGATAATCGCGCGTAGTAACCGACTAAAGGTTTGCTTGGAGTACAGCCATTTCATTGACACGTTGCGTGCAACGCTTGATAAGTTCCAGCAAGGAGTGGTTGAGGGCGATGCTGGATTAGTGTTAAGTGCACTCCTTGCGTTCATGCGACTTGTAGACCAGGTGGAGACTGTTTTTCTTCACGGTCATGCTCTGTTGAGTGAACTATTGGAGGCTTGTCTGCGGCTACTGAAGCTTCGTGCTGACGATATTACTGGGTCGTTCACGGCGACCGAGACGATTCCGCATCCAATGGAGACTTTCCACGGCATGCTGCGCAACGTTTTAAATGCTGTTGAGGCAAACAAATACGTAAGAGAGCTAGTGGCAGGTGACCAACTTGCTGAGATTGCTTGCGTCCAACGTGAACGTTATTGCCAAGTGTGTGGGCTGTACTTTGCTAACGACGGTGACCGTTGTGCTTATTGGCTGGAGCACTTTGGTTTTAAGCCGATTGAGAGTACTATTTCGAGTTTAAATGGCGATAGTAAGGGTAAGATGCTGCACAACGCTCCGTTTGTGACACATGTGGTGACTCGGTGGGTAGAACGAAAGGCGGCCGTTCTTATGCCAAACCGCGCTGCATTTCGTGCGTCGCGTCAATTAATCTACGATCAAGTGCATGCTGAAGTTATTTCGAAGCTATCGTTCACGTGTGATCTGGACGTGTTTGGATCGTCGGCTAATGACTTTGGTAACGAGCACAGTGACATGGATATGTGCCTTGTATTGCCCGAAGCGTACCTTCCGACAGTGGAAGAGAAGCGGCGCATGCTGCTGGAAGTTGTTGCACGCGTTGAGTCACGTCCGGACTTGTTTACATTGGTGGATAAGACGCGGCTGACGGCGCGCATCCCAATCGTTATGTTCGTATCACGCGCATCTGGCATCGAGTGTGACTTGTGCGTTGAGAATCGGTTGGCACAGCGCAACACTTCTCTACTTCGTGCCTACGCTAGCGCTGACCCCCGCGTGCGCATATTGGCGTATGTGATCAAACACTTTGTTAAGCAAAGGCGCATGAATTGTGCCGCTGAGGGCACGCTCTCATCGTACGGCTATTTGCTCTTACTTATCCACTTTCTCCAGCGCCAAAATCCACCTGTGTTGCCTGTGCTGCAGGCTTTGCCACCAAATTGGCCAGATGAACCTCGCGAAGAACTGCCAAGGGTAGTTTGCCGTGGCCCAAGCGACGAATTGGATCCGTCAGCAAGCAATGGCACAGAAGGCGCTAGCGGTATTGATACATATTTCTACGATCCGTTCGCGTTTCGTAAATCGAGTGAAAAATTAGCTTCTCTACGCAATTGCTGTGCGCGCAACACGCAGGCCGTTGGCGAACTATTGCTAGGTTTCTTTCGCTACTTTGGATTGCAGTTTGATGCTTCGCGTGATGTTGTAAGTGTTCGTCATCCAGACGCTGGCATTGTTACCAAAGATGAAAAGCGACTCGCTTGCCAGTGGCGTTTCTCGACGCGGCTGAGCATCGAAGATCCGTTTGAAGTGGGCTACGATGTGGCTCACGTGCTCAAGGGCTCACGTGACAAATACATTCGCCAACAGTTTGTGCGAGCGTACGTACTGCTTATGGATGGCGCTATCCTACATGAAAGCAAAAAAGCTGAGGTGCATGATAGCCAGAATGAGCTAGATGCTGACGACGAAATTGTTGAGCGGATCATGTCGATCGTGAACGAGCACGTGCTGGAGGTGCCTTTCTTGCAAGCACCCTCTCAGCCGACTATACCTGTACCGATGCAGATGCCATGTGAGGGCACTTGACATACTTGCCCTATTGACCATAATCTATGCATATCGAAAAAGCCTGAACATCATGCTTTCTGCGGTCGCGCAAACTACTACATCATTTCTAAAATTATGGGCATTCGTTTACTGTATGTAGTTCACTTGCCCTGAATCGCGCCCTCTGCAATACTATGTGCATTTGCGCAACGCTGTCATTCGAGAAAGCATCATTTCCTGTTGCTGTTATCTACCACAGACAGTGTCCACGAGACGACCAGCGCTTCTTCAGTTCGCAGATACTTCACATGAACAGTGTCAGCCGCGCTTACAATATACGTTCCTCCTGCTTGGACTACTACTTCCCGGAGATTCCAACCTAATAGCTATTTGGGATCAAAAGATAGTCATCACACCATTAGTTTTTCCATGTCTACTAGCTCAAACAGTTAGATAATACACGGCAATCACATACCTCCGTGCAAGCTTTCACACTAAGCTCAAGCTCAACTGTAGGTGGTTCAAGTTTCACACTGCTCTGACCAACCAGTAGTGCAAAAGAGCACGGGCGGACGCCATCAAACCGCTCCTCAAAGTTCAAGGTCGGGCTGGTCTTTTTCACAGACGGCGTTGACGACCAATTGGAAGCCGCTTTGCAATCAATCTGAAGCATACTTTTCCTCATGAGCGACACAAGTTGCCACTTCACTCGCTGGGCTTCCGGAAGTGCATGCCGAGCTTCACGTTCTTGAAGAGCCAGTATTTCCGTCTGTTGTTTTGCTAGCGCTTGGTTTGCTTCCACCAACTTCTGACGTAGTGCTGCAACTTTGTCGCTATCGGTAGAAGTCGATGGGGCCAATGCGCTTGCAGATACTGAAGCAGATTGTGTAGGTTTCAACGATCGAGCTTGCTCCTGAAACTTGTCCACAACCGCCTGTAACTGAGAAGTGTAAAACGCTGTATCTCGCTGTTGAATTCGTTGCGCTACCATGGATCTTCCCAACTCATGTCGAAGAGCACGGCACTCGGCATAGTAACGGTCCTTCTCCTCATTACTGACTCTCCATCCAGACTGTGTGTCATTGGGAACCAATGATGATGGCGCAAAAGCAGTAACTAAAACTGCACTTGAAGTGCTGGACCCAGGAGCTGTTGTTCCCATTGTAAGAATAGACGCATCTGTAGGAAAATAGGCCGAGTTCATGGGCTCCGATTTCAAATGCACTTGCAAGTGTTGCGCATGGTGCAGACCTGTGGCATGGTTCGTAAAACCTGTCACTCCTTGATGGTGCGAGCGATGCAGGTCGTCTAAGCCAACAGTTGCACTCCTGTTGTTTGATGCGCCAGCCAGACCTGCAGCAGTACCATTCAGACCGTTTCCGACACCTCCACCTATCCGTGTCTCCAATGCCATTGTCTTGCTTGACAACACATTAGCACTGTTACTGCTATCAGATCCCTTGATCACACTACGACCAGGTCGTTTCATCCCACGGTATGATGCTAAACTGCCAGTATTTTGTCGAACTATACAACACGCAAAGATCCAAACACATTGACGTCAAACACTACTCATCATAGAAACAAACCAATTTAAGTGTACAGGGATTGCGACGAAGTTTGAGTACAACCGAGTTGCGTGACGTCGATTTTAGGCGGCCAATCACCGTCGAAAATTGAAGACCACGCACGGGTAACCCCGATACAGCTACGAGTGTGTCACCAACAGAGATGCCGCTGTTAGCAGCAGGTGTGTCCGGTGCAAGACCTGTAATCTGCACGTGGTCATCCACGCATGCGAGTGTCAATCCTAGCCCACCATTCCGCTTGGTGATCACACACTCGTAAAGATCACCAGACTGTGGCTCCTTCATTACTTTCTCACGTGCCGCTGCAGCTGCAGCGACAGCCACCGCCGTCGACGAGGTCAACGAGTTATTAATATTGGCAAGATTTTGCCTGGCCTGCTGTTGTTGATAAGCTGATACAGGTACGGATGCTGCAGCTTCATTTTTAGTAAGCTCTGGCGTAATGTTGTCCATCTTCTGCTTCTTGTGCACCATAGCCGCTGTTGTTACTGACTCTGCTTTTCTCCTCATCGCTGAGGTTGTACCTGCACCGTCAGTCTTCACAATTGGAACTTCTCGTGTTGCTGCTGTAGTCATCATTGTCGTCGTCGTCGTCTGCTTTGCACTATCATCGGTACTAGCCATTATTCCAGACACTGCGGTATCTCCAAGCAACGCCAATGACGCAATATCTCCAAAATCCGGCAAGAGCGACGATGGTGGCGACAAGGCACGCATCATCAATCCAGGTGGTGGCTGCAATGGTATTCCAATCGAGGACGTCAGTCCTCCATTCAACCCCTGCGTTACTGCATCTGCTTGACTAATCGGTGTTTCCACAGGCGGGATCAAGTCCATGATATTCTGCAACAAAATCACAGCCACAATGCAAAAATGAGTGTTCACTTGCTACATATTCTATCGTCACTCATTCATGTCAATTTCTAGTGCATGTAACGCACATCCGAGAGTTTTTTCTCGTCCGAAACTACAGCAGCAATTTGGTCCAGGAAGAAATCTGCTGCTGACTTACTACTGGTTGTTGTAGCCATCGTCTCTGCTCCACTGCAAGCCGTCGAGAGAGTTGTGACTAAACTTTCATCAAATGGCAATGGTGGAAGCGCTTGGACACCACTACTGCTACCACCTGAGGACGATATAATTGACATGTCACTCTTTCCATTGTCGTTATTCTCTTCCTTCTGCTGATGCTGCTCGCCTGGCATTGCTACAATCAAGTTGTTGTCGTTGCAGTATTGGGGTCACGCGTTGAGAGTTTGGCAAGCGTGTAGAAGGCTTCAAACGATGCGAAAAACACGTACAGATGTAGCAAAAGGACGTGGTAAGATTGTATACACGATATCAGCTGTAATGAAGCCCTATCGAGACAGAGAGAGGAGCGAGATGCAGCACAGACAGAACACTGGCTTATACAATGGCAAAATGCCGTTTGCCACCAATAATGTCAATTATATTGGTGGAGCACTGGGATTGGTCAATAAAAAGTTCCTTGTCAACGCACGACGTTGATTGGCTCTATTCGTCATAGAGGTTGAGACTAGTAGTAGGATGATGACGCGACGCATTGAGTTCATAGGAATTGATATTGTCAAAATGAATTGACATCCACTCGCTCTTTCTACTGATCTTGCAATGAACGCGCAATAGCGTTGGCAATCTCATCTTCTTTGAAGGTTTCTTCCGTGTTGTCGCTCGAAGGTGCAGCATGAATTTCAGCAGTATCAGCAGCAGCAGTATCAGCAGTAGAAGACGATGCAACAGGACTCGAGGTAATTGAAGCAGAAGATGGAGTCAAAGCTGGGGCCAAAGGCGTCGTCGCAAATGGATTCAAAGTGGCAGAACCAGCAGCAAACGGGTTAGTGGCAGCCGATGAAGGTCCTGCGCCACCAAATGGAGAGTCTCCATAGCCACCAAGACCGCCCATGCCACCACTTGTCAGCATTTGCTGCATCTGCGCCATTGCATTTGGACTGCTCATCATTTGATTCATCTGCTGCATCATCGCCGGATTCTGCTGCAAAGTTTGCATGGATTGCGCCAAAAATGCCGGATTCTGAAGCGCCTGAGCCAGGATAGGGTTTTGCTGACTCATCTGCTGCACCATCGGGTTGCTAGCTATGGACTGGAGGATTGCCGGATTCTGCAGCAAAGCTTGCGCCTGCGAGACAAAGTCTCCCCTTGCACTCATTGATGGAATCGCACCAAAAGGCTGAGCAGCCATCGGTGTTGCACCTCCTAGATTTGTCGCAACAGAATCCACCACCGCTTTACACGCGACCAAGTTTTCCCACTTTTCTGGTGTTGGCTCAAGTATCAAATGACCCTATTACATCATCTCGCAACTTTGTCAGTGCTCTGTAACAACATTATATTTTTCCTGAAAATACTATCCACTCTCTCACTTACCGTCTGTACTCCATCTTGGAATCCCAACAACTTGACACTTTCTTGTCCATTCCTTCGATCAAAAAGCTTCATTCTTAGTACTGCATTATCCAATCGAAGCTTCCGGTACTTGTCGTCTCTCGGGTGATCTACAATATTACGGCAAATCTTTTGCAATGTCTGCACGGCTGTTGTAAACTCTCCCAGAGGCTCGTGGTCCTTCATTTGCTGCAAAAACGTACGTAATTGACTGGATGGAGATATTGCGGCCACAGTTGATGTAGGAACAGTGGGCATTACGGTCAAATGGAGCGCACAATCTCGAGTCACGTGATATTCCGATAACAACTTGACGTCCTGTAGGATTTGACCCTGAAAGATCAAACGTTGTGCTGAGACTGGAAATCGTTGTGCATCCTTTTCCTCAATTAATTCCTTGAGGGACAATACAGTGGTAGACGCTACATCTACACAAACTTGTAGACTCTCAGACGTGCCGCTTACGATTTTAATAGTCAGGTTGTCAGTCATTTTCGATATGAGAATTACATGAGAGAGACGTAGAGTGTACACTAATGTTACACAAGTGAATCTTGAAAAATTGTTTAGACGAAGGAGATGATACGATGAAATGATTGGTTAGTTAGAACAAATGGATTGAAATGATGAGACAACATTTACGGTAGTTTTATAAAAGCTAAGGTTTCTTTTGATCTGATGATGTTTTATGAGTGATAGAAGAGATAGTTACAGTCAAATTATTGGAAAAAATTAGTGACAAATGTCAAGTTATGATAGACCATACAAATGTCAGGTTTTGCAACAAATCAGACTCACCAGACAAAAAGTACACAAAATGCATCCAATCACTGGATCAGATAAGCGAAATACATCGTAAAATTGACCTTCAAAACCCGATAGAAAGCCGTCAATTTGCCGCGTATTGTTCGTTGGATACGATCCTTTTAAAATTCATGTGTTTTTTCATAATCATATAGAGGCAAAGATCCGCATATCACGCAACTATGAGATGACATGCGTTTAGGTATTTATGAGTTAGAACGATCCTGCTCGCAAATCCCACTGTAGCTTCTGCATTTGAAGTGCGACTGTATGTCGAGCTTTGAAGAACAATAGTTGTAAGATGAATGAAACGAGTGCACACTGGCTTTATAAGATGGAAAGACGCGGCTTCCAGAGCATGCAAACTTGCAAGATAGTGAGTGAAGTAGGGATAGGCACACAAATTTGAGACCACTATTGAAGATTTTATTGACTAACGTCGATCGTGCTTTGAGCTCATGCTACATTCGCTCTCGCAACAAAGTGACAATAAAGTCAAGTGGCGTAAAATGGTCCATAGCAGAACCAAATGAACGAGCGAATACATCGGCTGCATTAGAAGTGTAGTTACTGTAAATGCTTTTAAATATCGCTAGAAAACATTCAACGTCATTTACGCAGCAGTTTTTCCAGTGCCATCGTCACAATTTCCTGGCAAGCTGGCTTCATCACCTTCGTCTGCCTCTTCTTCGCCAACACTGACTGCAAATCGATACTCTATACATAAAACATATGACAAACATAACTTGACGAAAATTTGCCAGAAGAACCTCTTCCATTTGTTCAATTTTTCACAAATGTACACTGCTTCTTTCACAATGAAAATCTAATGAGGTCCAGTCAAAGATATTAGTATATCTTCTCTTTCTGTTTGCAACACCCTCATTACAAGAAAAACAACTTTAGCAAGGTGATCGACCCACGTTCGCCACATATACCAATGCTCATGACAATGGGCAGCCAGTAGTTGTCAAAGTGCTGGGCTCAACGTTTTGAAGACTTAAATCGCCTGTCGCACATCTTACGCGTAGACAACCAACCCGACTATCATCTTAAGATGTGAAAATTTCCAGAGCTTTAAAAATTTGAGGTTTTCGCTGTATCTAAGTAATTTATGCTCAAATTTAATACCACCACATTTACTAGTAGGAATTTATCGTCTAGAGACATTGTCTGGAATTAATACACTCAATTGTGCGGCAGTAATTGAGCGATGCGGATATTTTAGGGTATTAGTGTATCAGAATGCATTAAAAATTGTAACAGTCGTATATTCTGCAGTAACCCAAAACCCCTACTTCGTGATCTTTCTCTATATCTGAGACGCGTCACCATCGAGCCTCAATCTCTTTTTTGTATCCAGCAATGAATGATGAATCAAAAATGCTGTCGACTGCTTCACGACTCTGTAATAAAGATCCGAGCGTTTTCATAGTAGCTAGCTCATTAAACAGAATAAAGCTGATGTATAAGTAAAGTAATAAGATAGATAGACGGACGAAAAGAAGACTCTTCACAATCAACACGTCCGAAAAGTGAGGTATAAATTTTATCTGTGCTCAAGTACTGTATATGTACCAAGCCAGTCTAGTCTGTGCTCAAGCAAATGTGTGACGATATTGTTTGCGTCGTACAAGTCACGTATCAAATCGCTGGTTTAATTCACTTTTGTCGCCCATACAAGTCTGTAGACACTCTAGTGCACCGTCTGAAATCGGTTCTTCAAGACTAGATCAAATTTGTTGGCTGTGCTTTTGTAAATCTCACGCCGTGTATCTTCTCTATTCTCATTCTCCAATTTGCTTTGGATCGTGCACGTCTTCGTCAATCACTCGCTTCTTTCGGATCAAACATAAAATGAAGCTCGCTACTGGGCTTTTACTTACAGCCATCGCCGTTACTGCTACTTTCACTACGGCTGGATCTGTGAAGCTCTCAACCACTAACGCATTTGTCAATCATGGCTTCACAAGTCTGCGTAGAGCCAACAAAGATACTCCTACGTCAAAGTTTCACCGTCAACTCGCAGCTTCCGACGACCTTAACATGCTTAAGGTAAAGAAGGTTAGCGATTCATATGGGACGCCAATTCCACTTGAAGGACTACTGCCACCTAAATGTGCTGATTCTAGTAACACGAGGTTGATGGATGATTTTGAGCCACCGAACTCACTGGACTTATTGCAGCCACCAAACTCGCCAGATTCTTTTGCTTCTGGGGGGCCGTTTTTAAAAGCGTCGCTTTTGTTCCCAATTCGGGGCCTACCATCAACCCGGACGAATTGGCTGGCCTGGGCCCTCAAACGCCATTAACCCTAAGCTCGCCAAATTCGGTGGCATGTCCTCCCACTTCCCCTACCACCAACCCGGACCACTTGGCTGGCCTGCGCCTGAACAACCCGCCGAACTTGCCAGAAACGCCGGAATGTCCTCCCTCTTTGGTCACGTCATCTGTTCCTAAAACTGTCACCGCTGATCGAAACACGCTGAATACGATTGACCCCGAAACTTTGTATGGGCTTGGCCCTCGCACGCCGCTCTCGCCGTGCCCGTCGGATTGTCCTCCCTCTGATTGCACGGCATTTACTGGCACTGTTCCATTCAACCCCACCATGCCGAGCACGCCATTCACACCGGACACTTTCCAGAGCATAGGCCCTGAGGTTGTTCCTGGCATGGAGAGCTATGGCAAGAATGAAAAGGCCAAGCAGGCCATGGATGAGTTTGTTAAACAAGAGGAGGTTATTTGTAACGAGGATTGCTCGAGTCAAGTTGTTTCGCATGTGTGCGGTAGCGACGGTATTATGTACGACAATTTGTGCGAGCTTCAAAACGCTAGCTGCAAATCTCCTGAGAAGTGCATTACGCAAGCCTCGGACCCATCAACCTGCAATCAAGTGTAGCAAGAGCATACTCGTCGAGTATAACTAAGAAGATTATAGCAAATGGTGTTGGATTCTCGAAGTATGTGCATATTCATGTAAAGCTCTAATGAATGCGCTGACTCATTGAAATCTTTTTATCGGGTCTCATGGTGTTAGTCCTTAGGTCTATTTTGCCTGACGGATATCTGCAGCTGCTGCTCAACTCAAAGCGCCGACACAGTTTCAACCTCCATTAGTTTCCGTGAAGCAACAGCCAGTACTTCATTTTCAGACAAAAGCCTTTGTAGCATGAAGCTCAGCATCAGTGTTACTGTAGTATCTGTGCAGCTGCAGGTGCCAAAACCATCGACCGCGCTACTCAACCAAGGCCGGACACATCAAATCTTGACACATGCAACGTGAGATTTGATCTTCACATCAAACCTTTGTTTTCGCGTCAAGCTGTTTTCGATATGGTGAAACACATAACTTCGTTGGTTCATTAAGGAACAACAGTGCCAACAAGTAAAACTTGATCCGACATTCCTTTCGGAAGACAACACTAAAGCCGTTAAAGTTGTGCGTCACTGCGAAAAACTTTGCATATGATTGCAGCACAAGCGTTAGTTACGCAACATTTCGTTAGAGGATCGCGCTTGACAACTGCACATGATGTTTTTCCTATTGTCAACTACAGATCTCGCAACAGAAGAACATTAGTCTCTTTGTCATTGTACTTATAAAACGAGTCAACATACATTGAGACGTCCACTTTCACGATATCTCATTGGCAAGATATACTCAGTGTGCAGAATTAGCTACGCAGCCATATACGCCCGTATCAAGCAGCGAGCAGTAAGCGCCGGGCGGACAGTCACCATTGCTCACTTGAGCAACACAAATGTTACTTGAAGAGATACATCCATCATGGTTCCAACCCACGACACCAACCGTTTGTTCACTCCCCAGTACAGCCAGCCCAACTAGCAGCCGTCTCCTCCGCGCCATCCATACATCCAAACACACCCGTGTCTAGCATCTCACAGTGAGCCCCAGCAGGGCAATCACCATCAACGTTGGCAACGCACACATTCCCAGATTTGACACACCCGTCCGAGCTCCAGCCAGCTACGCCGATACTTTCCTGACCGCTTGGGCAGGATACTGCCATCTGGTCCTTTGACTTGTGGTGGTGATGACGGTGATGGTGATGCTTTTTGGAGCTAGCTACGCAGCCATATACGCCCGTATCAAGCAGCGAGCAGTAAGCACCGGGCGGACAGTCACCATTGCTCACTTGAGCAACACAAATGTTACTTGAAGAGATACATCCATCATGGTCCCAACCCACGACACCAACCGTTTGTTCACTCCCAGTACAGCCAGCCCAACTAGCAGCCGTCTCCTCCGCGCCATCCATACATCCAAACACACCCGTGTCTAGCATCTCACAGTGAGCCCCAGCAGGGCAATCACCATCAACGTTGGCAACGCACACATTCCCAGATTTGACACACCCGTCCGAGCTCCAGCCAGCTACGCCGATACTTTCCTGACCGCTTGGGCAGGATACTGCCATCTGGTCCTTTGACTTGTGGTGGTGATGACGGTGATGGTGATGCTTTTTGGAGCTAGCTACGCAGCCATATACGCCCGTATCAAGCAGCGAGCAGTAAGCACCGGGCGGACAGTCACCATTGCTCACTTGAGCAACACAAATGTTACTTGAAGAGATACATCCATCATGGTCCCAACCCACGACACCAACCGTTTGTTCACTCCCAGTACAGCCAGCCCAACTAGCAGCCGTCTCCTCCGCGCCATCCATACATCCAAACACACCCGTGTCTAGCATCTCACAGTGAGCCCCAGCAGGGCAATCACCATCAACGTTGGCAACGCACACATTCCCAGATTTGACACACCCGTCCGAGCTCCAGCCAGCTACGCCGATACTTTCCTGACCGCTTGGGCAGGATACTGCCATCTGGTCCTTTGACTTGTGGTGGTGATGACGGTGATGGTGATGCTTTTTTGGAGCTAGCTACGCAGCCATATACGCCCGTATCAAGCAGCGAGCAGTAAGCACCGGGCGGACAGTCACCATTGCTCACTTGAGCAACACAAATGTTACTTGAAGAGATACATCCATCATGGTCCCAACCCACGACACCAACCGTTTGTTCACTCCCAGTACAGCCAGCCCAACTAGCAGCCGTCTCCTCCGCGCCATCCATACATCCAAACACACCCGTGTCTAGCATCTCACAGTGAGCCCCAGCAGGGCAATCACCATCAACGTTGGCAACGCACACATTCCCAGATTTGACACACCCGTCCGAGCTCCAGCCAGCTACGCCGATACTTTCCTGACCGCTTGGGCACGTGACCTTGTTGTATACATGCATACGAAGGTGAACAGCAGTCTCAGCTTTTGTTATAGTCAGAAGTAGCATCACGATAGTAGTGAAACAGGCAATGATCTTGATTCGCAGCATCTTCATTCGTATAAAAAGCTTGGACCTCCTCTACTTGAGAATGTAAATCAAAGAATGAGCAAGAGGCACTTGTGACGGTCGTGAGCCTTTATTTGGTACATTGTTATGGGTACACAAGGGTTCCAAATCTTTTGAATGGTGATTCGGATGATATAGACTCACGATCGTCAAACAAGATACTTTTGATTCGCATTCGACGTTACTTTTCACTTGCCATTTGTATGCCCACGGACCTGATTTATTGAGGGAATAAAACTAAACGTGTTTTTTGCACTGAGATATTATAGAGCAACTTGTCGTGCGGAACATAGTGAGCGTCCATCACTCACTAAAGCATCTCTGTCGTATGTGACTCTTTATCCAGGGCGTCTTGTTTATAGTAGTACATTAACAATAGCTTGTTATCAAATGGCTTGAACGTAAGACTGAAGTTTAAATGTGTTAATGACTTTTTTAGTGACCTTTTTCTTTCGCTTACCCAAGTGAATTTTTGATTAGATTTGTGTGCTATGCAGGAACTCATACATTGTTTATTCAGCTGATTATTATAAAGTAAGATGCGATCTATTGAATCACGTAATGGTATAGAAGGTAAGCTAGAATTGTGGAATTTGCGCTTCTTCATCGACGTTCTGGAGCACGGATGAGAGGCGCAGCTATGCCAGTACTAAGGACAGCCAGATCGACTAGGCCCAAGCACTCCAATGGGACGGATTGACCAAGACATCGGACGCACATGGACCTTCGTCCAGCATATGTATCATCTTTCACGCTACCAGTTCGAGGCTTCAATCAAGACCGACGACGAATATCGCAAGAGCTAGGCAAGAACGTCTATTCACGTCAAAGAGATTCTTTTGCCTGCGATCGACAGCAGAACGCAGATCACCAACGTAACGTCACCAATATTCGTGCGCATTTGAATGGTCTTTGAGACAGAGTACGGATGAGACCGCCCAAGCAACGCCACCAAGAGCACGGAAAGTTGCAATTTGGAAGGCAAAGCGGAAGCGTCAAGTATAAATCTTGACTTGCGCCCACCAACTGCAGCTGAATTAGGTGCAAGATCGGCGACGTGCAGCGTGGGCATCCCGCGATCGTTTAATGACATAAGTTGCCGATCTCGAGTTGGCTCGTGATCGGCCGATTATCAATGATCTCTGATCCAGAAACCGAACGTGATCGATCCATCCGCGATCGAAATTTTCTTGGTGGGCACCTCGCGAACCTCGCTTCAGCAGTTCGCTCAGCTCCCACTCGCTCAACGATGCATGTTACTTCAGTCACCACTTGGCCCGGGAAGCGTCCCAACCAAAATAAATATCTCCGTTTGTCGGTTTCTCCACCTGCACCATTGCAGCCAATCCCCCCCCGCGGTCTCTCAGCTCCGACGCCCCGGTGAGGTTGCAGACTTGCTTAGTAGGATCGATCGCGTCTCGACAAGTCAGCCTCGATCAGTCACTCGTTGATCAGCGTCGCCACGATCAGCTACACCGCGCCTCGATCAGCTACACCGCGCCTCGATCAGCCACGCCATGATCTATCACGAAGCGATCGGCTAAGGCTGCATTAAGTGATCCCGGCAAGATGAATTGATCTGCCTTGGGCGGCCAAAATCGGGGCGTCTATCACCTTTCAAGTCGGATATGCAAGACGACGATGAGTTTAACTTCACGGACGATTTAGTGCTCGCAACTTTATTTTCGTCTCAATCTGCTTCCGTGCGATCAAGCAAGTCTACGGGCAATTAGCCATGTCGGGCACATAGGTCAGGTTCGGGCTCACAAAAGGTTTTGTAGGCCCTTCCAAACTAATCCTGCTCGTTACACCACCAGATTTAAGTGGGCTCCTCGCTTGATCATGTCTGATCGGATCGCCGCGTTGTACGCATAAGAGCCTTGGAACGTGTTCTCTCTCTTTGTCTTAAAACATTAAGTAGTATACCTTCTCTAGGAGAAATTGTGGCTTATAACCACGTAGCGAGCACCACGACGCACCGGCTTTTACATTCCCACATAATCTAGAAAACCCAGCAGAATACTGATAAACTCGGACAAGTTGAAGAGAAAGTATGACACTCAATCACCATTGCGAGCCTTCTTGATACACCTTGCCGTATCAATGCCATTCGGCCAATGATGCCATTGCGGAGGATCCAGACTCCGTTAAAGAGCTTGTCGCCGCACTGCAACGTCTCGATGTAAAGCAAGTGGATTTCCTCACGCGTCTCTGTCTCGCACTTGACATAACAAAGCTTGATAACTAAAAGGAATTACAGCACGACACCTGCGAGCCAGTGAGTACGGTAATCAGAAAGAATGACATGCCACAACCGATAACTGAGTCATTCCTCATTTCGTACACGCGAGCATTAGGCAGCTCGCGCTTCACATCATTTCCAGATCTCGGGTAAACTCAAGTGCATCGAACGACATAGTAAAGGTTCCTGGTCCGTCTCGGGACATATAAGCCATGCACGATGACGCGTGTCAATTACAATACCTCTTGTTGCTAGATCAAGGCGTTCTTTGTTCAGGCAAAAATCATCACGCAGGTCAACGCCACCCACGACCACTTCATCATTACGTAAATTAAAATGCTTCGGATAGTCGACATCGTATGAAAGTAGTACATTTGAGCGCCTTCAAGGTAAACATAGCGCTTTTGCCAACTCTTGGTCACAGGGCCTTTAAGTTACGACTCTCCTGCTGCGCATTAGAGAGAGACCAGATTGTCTATGTACTGGTTAGTGCAAGATCTCTGGTAGGTAGTTAACCACACTAGCAACGCTGGAGGGTACAGGCATTGCCCACGGCTGGCAGCCTGGCTATGAAGGCCGGGCTGCCCTTTCGGTTCTGATATAAGTATGTCGTAGCATGCAGAAAGTTGGGCACCTCGCACGGCCGTGTCAGCCCTGCAATGGAGGCGTTTAATGAGCAACCGCAGTTGGAGCTGAATCCTTCCCCAAAATTAAGGCTTCACTGGCTTGCATCGGGATATCCGCCTTGTGAAAAACGCAGTCCACGCGGTGTTGCCAGATCATTGTGATGATGACGGTCCTGCGACCTCCCATCGTCTTCCAGGTCGTGGCGAATTGATCGATGTCGTCTGGGTAGTGGGCTAACAGCATTGCTGTGACTCGCGGTAAAAGGCGGGGTTCGCTACGGTTTGCGCAGTGCTCGAGCCATTCCAGTAGGTGGTAAGGCTTACGAGGTGTGCTCCCAATGACTGATGAGCCGGGCTCAAAGTGCTTGAGCACGGGGACACCCCCAGAAGAGATGCTCCTGGGTCTCCTTCTGTCCGACACATTCTCTATACGTGCAAGTCCCGTCTTGAGGCCAGTCCTGATACCAAAAGTTGAGCTGACCAGTAGCGTGGCGGTACCGTGTCCAGAGCTGATATTCCGTCACCGCCTGTCCGTGACCCCATATATGACCCAGAGAGACATCGAGAGCTGCTCGTTGCCACCGCCTTTGCTAGCTCTTGATGTTTAGTCTATCAATGACCTGTTTCAGCGGTGTTGCAAGACACTGCTTAGACGACTTAAAGGCTTGCCGTTTCAGGAAAGATAAGACGCGGCGATTGGGAACCATGAGCGGATCAAACCATGCATAGTGGGGACCTGTGGATTCGAAAAAAGACGACCCCATTCCGGATGAGCTTAGTTGGGTGAGTTTTTGCGTTTCCCTTGGACCGGCAGCGGTTCCCCGTCGAAAATCAAATAATTCCATTGTGGCATTGAGTGAGCACCCAACTCTGAGGGTGAGAAAAATCGACAAAGAGAGAAGTGCCCGAACACTGCCTGGCCCAACCTGCGCCCATGCGATGGCTTGTGTGAAAGGGGGCTGACGCCGCAGCCGGATTGAGGCCGGGCATCCCACCAAATTTCCAACGTCAAGTGACGGCGACGAAAGTAAGACGATGATAACCCATTCTCGAAGTTTAGCATGTGAATGGCGGGGGGCGAGAAGGTTCGTGAAATGCCGCCAAAGTCGTATTTCTGGGGTCCTGTCCGGTGGATATGGAGTTGCTCAAAGGAGACATCGTCGATCCTGTCATACTTGGATCGAGATAGCGCAGATGCCTGAGGTGTAAGAATTCAAGGGTTTCCACTCCACCGGAAAGTCTTCCAGAAGTCTTCGATCTCCTGGGGCCATCACTCGACTGATGAGGCCGACAGGGAAGGGTTACGGAAAGATGCAGCACCCAGTCGTTTTTCTTCCCACCAGCTGGTCGATGATGACCGAAGGGTCGGTGGATGGTCCTGTACCCGTGCGAGTCCTCTGTTCGCGCGAGTGTTGGCGTCAGCGTGCATCCAAGCTCATGAAGTACATCCGGACACCGCTCAGTAGACCGCGATACAATATGTTTCACGCTCGGTCGATGCGGACTGATGGCCGTAATGTGTGCGTAATCCAGGACACCCACGCTGAGTAATAAACATCCTCCGGCCCGAGTAAGTGCTAGTAGCGCGTGTTTAACCGGCTTGGGATTTGATGACGACGGGGACCGAAACAAGACCAATACCGCGACTTTGTCTCTCTGGGTTCGATCCTGTTAGACGTCTTCCAAAGGAATTGTTTGTAAAGATGACCCAGCTGTTTGAGCGCCCAGCCGGGGGCTCAAAGACCGCTGCCGTAAACAAATCCCGGGTAGAACTATCGCATTTAGTAAAAATGCGGTGCTCGTGGTTCGTCGATACTCGCGTTGCAGTGATGAGGCGGCGCTGTGCAGTTTTGATGCGAAGATCCCACTTAATGTTGCGTAATTTCCTGTACCCACTTGATAGCTGAGATAACTCGTAGTTGTTGACGGAGCAACCACTGCGATTTCCTGATACGTATCTTGACGGATAGCCGTGGCTAGAAATATGGTATGGCTTTTTGTCGGTTACACCTGTAACCCTGAAAGTCGTCAGAACTCCATAACGATGTCCATAGCTGGTCGTAGAAGACTAACTTTTAGGAAAAACAGTGTAGAGTCGTCGACATGACCCGAAAATATAT